GCTGCAAGGGGCACACCAACCAGTGGCAAATTCAGAGGGGGGGGGGGGGGGGGGGGGGGCGGCGGCGACGGGCGGGGCGGGATGTCCTGACACCCCTCTTGGTTTCTGCATATGTAATGATTTAGGCTGTTGAAACGGGGGAGTGAGGGGGGGGGGGGGGGGGGGGTTGAAACATATGATACACTGGCCAACACCTAACCCCCCCCCCTTGGAAATTCCTGCATCCACCCCTCCGACGCCAACACAATGTGCAGCAAATGCAAGGCAGATCTTTGCCTGAACAAAAACTCCAACTGCTTCTTTGAACTCTATCAGCCATAAAGTAGAAGCCTTGATGCTTTCTGCACTGTGCTTGTTAGTTTTTAGCACACAATGAGCAAAATTCGGTTTCACCCCTTTCGATACTTTTTACAGCACATGTAATTTCGCGAAAAAAATCAATTTTATGCACATGACGTTCATAAAATGAGGGACGTTTTGGCCTTTTGTCGCGAATTTGCGACATGGTAGCTCTTTTAGCTAAACGGGATATCCCATACAATTCACAATGCTTCTATATTTTCGGGGACACTTTAAGTACCACATTTCTGCAAAAACATTTTTTAGCCGACTGAAAAAAACTTTTGGTGTTAAAGGGGCCCTGCAATCATATATAAGCGTCTACCTTTTTTGCGGTTTCCACATCTCTTGGGGTTCGGGCAAGCCAGCGGGCACAGAGGGAATAACTAAATATCAGTGCATCATATTTTAATCGGACAACGCGGAAACCTCCACCTACGGGGGCGACCCGCGGTGCCGAAAGCGCACGATATGTGACATCTTTGGTCCTGGCCTTGCTACTGGTCAGAGCCGCTAAAGGCTTTTTTTTAGTCGAAATACAAAATATAAGTGGCGCAGACCGTTTCAATGTAGTTTTTGTTCAGTATTTTAGATCGGAAAAGAAACGAATGCAGTTTATAGAGTACGGAAACAAGAAATGACCCGTTGACGTACCCGTCACCAAGCGGTGGAAAAGGCGGCGCATACTGGAAAAGTCCCGGATCTATGAGGCGGCGCTGCGGTCGGAGGATTCGACCGGTTCCGAGCGTTCCGAAGGCCTTCGGAGCAGGTTTGGCGGTGTGGCGGTATGGCAGTGCGAAGTGGCTCCAGCTTTGAACTGATCTTTACCCCGTGTTTGCTGTCGTTTGTGGCCACTGAAGTGCCATGCCGAATTAGTGTTTAATCGTGCAGAAATGTAACGCGAGCCGCCCTGGCCGCTCGCTTCATACAGCTTATCCGGAACGTGCTTTAGTGGCGCCCTCTTGAGTTGTCGACACAAAGTGCAGCAGCTGTGAGAGCTCGCTGAGCTCACTACCCCTCCTTTAGTTCACGCCCACTCAAGCAGCCAAGGACGTCGTGAATGAGGTTACTTTTTTTTATTGTTTTTGTAATTTTAATTTGCCTATAACTTTTAAAATAAATCGGAATTCGAGAAAAGAAAAGTTTCATTAAAAAGCAAGCTAAAAGCAAGTATAGGCAAACTAAAAACAAGTAAGAAAGTCCTTGCCGGCCCCTTTCAAGGGTTAAGGCGGTTAAGCATTTTCTGTTAGCATAATTTTTTTATGAAAGCCCGGAACTGTCCAGTCAGTTCCAAAACAATGTACAGAGTAGAAGTCGCACGGTTTTAGCAATTGTGAGATTGAGAACTTGAGACTCATGGTCGGCATGCGGCTCCCTTTTCCGAGAACAGATAATGATGTGATCCACCTACATGTTACCAAATTGACCCGTGAAGTCTTCTAGAACACTGTTTTCGAACCGGGTTTCAAAATATTTTTTTTTCCATCAAAATGACAGCCTGTTATTCTGGCACACATCAAAAGGTGTTATGAAGGCTGTGAAACGTTTTCTTTCTTCTTTTATAGAACCCTACCAGCCACCCTTGCAAAGGTCTATTTTTAAAAACCACGAGCATCCTCCAGTTTCTATGATTATGTCTTTCACATGTGACGATAGGAGGGAGAAATGGGGGCAAAGTCAGAATGTTCCAATCTTCGGTGCAATTGTGATTAGAGATTGAATGTTGACTGTGTAAGGTCAGGCGATTAACATAGCTTGAAGTTCGTGTCTTAGCCACAGCTTCTTTTCATGTAACATGCTGTATGATTTCTTTTGGACCACCTTGATGCCAAAGGAGTTCAAAAGAAACTTTGACAGTTGCGACTGCTGGTAGATAATGTTCAATACATATCGCCTCTAGGTATAGACTTTAGATATTCCTTCGGTCAAAAAACCATCAATTTTTTGTTGTCTCGGTGAAAAGTAATTTCATCCTTCAAGATATGATCGATAAGAGATGCTTCATGTCTGATCGTGCACCTGTATGACCCATTGGGATCCGGACAAAATGGTCCCAGACAATATGGGCCTGGACTAAATGTTCCCAGTCAAAATGGCCCCAAACAAAAAGGTTCCAGGTAATTTTCGCGGCATAGATCGCTTGCTCTTCGGAGGCGAGTCAATTGTTTGCACTTGATGCAAATTGAACATTGAAGCTTTACTACATACTTAAGTTATAAAACTTTAACCGTTTTAAAGATTATGTATTGAATTTAGAGTACACTCCATGCCAAAGCTTAGCCAAGGTTTAGTTGACCCTATAATACACACATAGCATTTTGACCCCCCCCCTCCCCTCTCCATACCCCAAGTCATGGACATCCCAGCCACCACAGACCCTTCGAAAAAAAATTCCTGGCTATGCCACTGCCCCAATAAAATGTCGAGGTGACTATACTCGTTTTCACCTAAAAAAAAAAGTAAGTTTTTCACATTGTTCATGCACCGTCGCGCAAAGTCTTACAAGGAAGAAGCAATGCTTTTGGCACTTGAGGCATGTATGGCTCGATAGGATAACATATATCTACTCTAAAATGCACTCAAGATATATCCCAACTCTCCAGACAAATGCTCCGCGACGAGCCGGTCTTTTCTTACTAAGATTGTTGAGGTGAAATTGAGCATAATATAGGCAAACACATTAATTATTTATGTGCAATCATGCCACCATCATATAAAAGTTTGCTATCTCCATTAATACAATGCAAAAATTGCATCACTTATGAGGGAAATACACTGGCTTGTTCCAGTGGTGTTGTAACAGAGGAGCGGCAGGGATACAGCCCCCTACACAATCAAACAAAAACTTGCCCGACATTGTACTGGTGCTTGCAATGGTCTCTAGCTTGTCCCAGTCTTTATTCCTGAAGACCAGCAAGTGCTACGAGGTAACAAAGTTCACTTTTTAGTCATTTGTGGGGCCTCCTTCAAATGTCCGTGTCTTCCGACTCTTTTCGTTTTGCAAGAGTTCACAAGTTCACATACTTTCGTATAAAAGTATAGAGTAAAATTATCTTGCTCTATTGCATATGGGTTCAGTTGACCAATATCAAATATTTGCATGCAGGGAGGCCTTAAGTTCATGAATCAATCCCTTATAGATTCAGCCTATGTCATACTATCCATCAAACGGTTGGTCAAATTTATTATTTCTCAATGGTTTCTAATACTTGACTACTTTTGTAATTCACTTGACAATAAAACCCGCTTACTATACTTAAAATTTTGATGCCTTGGTGCTATTCTTTGGTATTGCAGAAGACCACATACAAAAATCCAGAGCTTCAAATGCCAGAGTAGTGCAGCTCGTGACATCATGTGCCTATTTCAGACGTGGATAAATTAACCTACTAGTAGTACTATGCGGTATGAATTTTATAATAAAAATGTTTTCAAAACATTTCACTCATAAAACGCTTCTAATCATGCTGATTTAATAAGATCAATTTGAAACAAAAATGACAGCACAATAGTTAAAATTTTCTGTGAAACATTCAGACTGGCTGTTTCAGAGAAACTGTGCATGCAAAAATACTAAAAAATACTAAATGTTAGCAAAAAAAAAAAAAATTTGTTTCACTTTCAAAATTAAACACAGTACTACTGATATGACAGCCATGTGTGCACATACGTAATTTTGGATAAATCATTTTAGAAAGCTCTCTGCTCTAGCTACCTTAATATATTATATCCCGAGAGATGACCGATCCAGCCGATTTCTAGTAATTGCAGAGTCCTGACTTTGGAAGAAATTATGTTACTTAGCCACGGCTGGAGATAAGCAAACATTGCTGACTGGGAAGAACAGTCGTTTTTGGTTCATCACCCCTTACTGCAATCGCAAGTTTTGCTGGTCACAAAATCTAAAACATTTTCTTTACTTTTTCTTTATTGCACTTCATAACTTAGCCCACTTTTTATTTTCCCCCGATTTGAATTCGATTTTGGGTGGGCTATCCCTCGGGGTATTTCAGTAAGGCTAGAACAATCAAGCTAGTCTGCATGATGAAGCTGCTTCCATGATTACCTGCTGTTCTTTGTCACTACATATGTGCATGCACTGGAAAAAACAATCATGTTCATGTAAATTTCCCAGCCCTAGTAGGAGATAGTTCCTATTACATGAGTGTGTTGGGAAATTTCCTGCCACTGATAAATATCTTGCACCGGAACAATTTTATATTCAAAACCTGTATAACAAAACTGTTTTCCTCTTAGCTGGGAACACTTCTCCACTTGAAAGGACCTCCTTGTAGCGAAAATGCCAATTTTTGTTGCTGAATAGAAACTGGAATTTAGGTAATGTTGGCCACGCCTGCTAAAATGCTTCACTTTATCAACCACAGGCATCAATTCTACAGTGAAAAAGACAGGCTTTAAATTTTTAAAAACTCTGGCCACAAAGTTATGGTTTAATGCAAAATGAAAACTATGAACTCTGCGTGAGAGGGCAACATCCTTTAACTGTTTAACCAAGCCACACATGCTGCGCAACTGATGTCCAGCATGCGCATATTGTGCGCACATTCGATTGACAATGTTGGTCTTGCACAGTGGTGGCACAACACCCAATGATGCCAAGCCACGGTGTTGAAGTGATAATTTTTAAGACCTTTAATTAAAATTGTGGCATCATTTTGATGTCAATTTTATTTGTGATCATGTCATGTCACACTGATGTCAAATTAAATGTATCTGCATACATAATATTGGGGGATCGTGCATTTAAACAAAGATGCGCACACACTGCACGCCATCACTGGATGATGCTATACCTCAATTTGGCTATCGAAATGGCACAGCAAAAGACCTACAAACGTTATGTAGGCATATATATATAATATAGTATATACACACACACAAAAATTGTGGCAATACGGCCAATAAATGAAAAGTAATCGTAGCACAAGATTGACTACTTAAATTACGGCTGCATTCATTCACCAAGCAGAGCGTCTGAAAACTCTATAAAACACGATATAATCCTGAAACTGATTGCATTTGCACCTGCACTGAAAACCTATAACTCAAATGAAAAAAAAAAAAAAAAAAAAAAAAAAAAAAGATTGCTTGGCAGCATGAGAGCATAATAGTGTATACTGAATAACAAACTAAAACTGCCATCAACCATTCAAAACCTAGACCCACTCGCAACAAGTGGGTGAGTATGTTCTTATTTAGGATCAAATTTGTTGACGATAATGCTCGGAGCGACCCTTACCAGTTCTGCTCTACGACAAAAAATGAGCAGTCCCGCGTGATTCCACAGTGCAGTCGCAGCGATAGCCACGACGAGACATGTCGAAATCATTGGGCATCAGTGTCGCATTCACGCATCGTGCATACTTGACGGCAAAGTTTCTTGACGACGTCATCGTTGTGGATTGCCGACTTGCCCTAAATTGTAACTTTCGATTCTGGAGAATGGTAGATGAATGTTTGTGCTTAGCAGCAGTACGAGATTCTTTGCCCTTCTCAATTAAATCGGAATTTACTCGGAGATCAGTTAACTGTTAGAAATAAAAGCTTTGGCTAGGTGGCGCAAGTCGCAGCTCAATACACGGGTTCAGCCACATCCATCCATCCGGTGATGACCTTTGGGGAAAGGAGAGGGGGCACAGGTTTTGTTTTCTAGGTGGTACGGAGTCAGTTGGCGTAATGTAATGTCACAGGCGGAGTAATACGACGTGACAAGTGACGTAATGCATGGAGATAGAAAGAAGAGGAGGAGACATACCGGCTCGAGCCAGCCAAACAAAAAATCCTGAGTGAAGCCGGAAGTAGAGGTTGCGGTTGGTGGGAACTCCTCATAGGGTGACCGGAGCAGCTGTTGGCGCCAAATCAGCTGTTGTTTCCGTCCAATAGCGTCGTTTGGTTTCCTTCGCTTTTGGTCTTCGTTGGGGGTGTGTCCCTCCAAACCAAAAGTCTGCCCCGGCTTCGCCTCTGGTGGCGTCGTGTGCCTCCAGAGGCCTCCTACCTCCATGGCGCAACGCAACGATAGATGGAGGGATGGATGGTTAGGGCTGAACTCTTTTGATTGGACAGCAACTAGCACCACCCAGCCGAAGCCTATGTTTCAACAGTTAACTCCGATTAAAATTGGAATTAACTACAAATAAAGAAATTTATATCGCAACGTCACAGCAACTGTGGCCGTCTAGCGGCACTGCACGGGAATCATACACACGTGTGTGCTCATCAAATGCCGATAAAGCAGATTGTTACAGTAGTGGCGTAGCTCAGTGGTAACGCGTCCGCTTCACACACAGCAGGCCCAGGACGGAATCCCGAGCACGCCGCAGTGACGTCAATCTTTTTCGAGCATTTGGCAATGTCGGTTGCAGACGTCATTTCCAGTGGTGGGAAGAGCCCGTAACAGCCATCACCGTAAAACATGCTTACCGCGGGTGGGTGCTCTTTTTGTATCTGTTTCTTTGAAAACATGGCACAGTCGGGCACATGCAGCCCCAAACGAGAGAAGAGCATTCGACAGGTTCAGAACACAAATGTGACCTTACGCTTGCGAAAGAAAAAGCCTAAAGTGCGTGGTTGTTCCTTCTGCATGGGGCTCCATTGCAGCCAGTCGCACGAGGACAAATGTAAACACACAGAGAGTGCTGCTGGCAGCGTCTCCGAGACGGCCCACAGTGGGGCATGTAAAAAAACAATGTATATGGAGTATTCCACAGTGCTATATACACGTCATGAACTTTGCTCCGGTGAGTGTGGCAAACTCGAGTCCTTTAGCCTGAAGCTTGTCCAAGTCAAAGTAGACTGGAGGGGTGGCAGTGGGCTTCTCCCAAACTGCTGCTGTGTCGACCGTTTTTGCTTTAGCAATGTCCGTTGTGGGTGGCACTGTTCGTGGTTGGGTCCTTAGAGGTGAGCTTTATCCACAGTTCAACACGAGCACCTAGGGCACTCCAGAGACACAGGTCTGTTCCTGGGGGTCCTAGCACTCAAACTCCGATGCTGTTATTGCATTCAGGTCCTTCATCAGCCCTTCTAAGTTGGCCATTTCTTGGGTGAGTTCTTCGTTGTTGAAGGGAGACTGAAAACAAAGCGACAATTGAAATGACTGTTAGGCACTATTTCGGTATTTTAAAGACTAGCAAATTGAGCATGCTTTCCATTTTGAGTACAGTAATACCTCGTTAACTCGAAGTCATAAAAATCGTGAAAAAATTAGAGATAAGCAAAGTACCGAAACTTTTACCTCCGATCCTGCGATGTGCTAAATAAAGCTTCTAACAATCGCGGCAGCAGCACAGGTTCTATTAAAGAAAGGAAAAATAGAACCTGTTTGGGCTGTGCCATGTTCACGGTCAATCGAGTCACGAGCCAACGTCGGAAAATTCACAACTGACGACCGAATTGAACACTTGACTCTTGCTCGTATGGCGCCCCTAGATGATCAAAACACCCAGAAAAAAAAAATGGAGGAACAAGGGACAAGCAATAAAGAGCAGCAACACTCTTGAAACAAACTAGACACCTCCGACATTTCTGCGAAACACAAGACTGAGGAGACGACGACCAGACCCGGAAGGGAAGGGAAACGGAAAGACCCAGAAGCAAAGAGAAAACGAAAGACTGAGTGCCACAAAACTATCAAGGGAGAGGCGGCACCGAACGCCATTGGCTTGTCCAAGTGGGGTAGAGGAAAAAAAGATATTATTAAGAAAACAAAAGTTTTTGAGGCGCATGTCTCATCACGTCTCCGCGTACCGCACCCGCGGTTCTTTTTTTTTTTTTTTCTAGAGCTTGCTTATATATTTTTTTTTTTGGCCTGAAAACTTTTTTTTTTTTTTTTTGGCATGCACATTTTTTTAGCCAGTTCTTGTCGTTTATTGTGGTTTTCTTTTTTTTTTTGCGATTTTCGCTGACGGGATTTCGAGATATTTAAAGTCCATCCTGAAAACCTTTCAAGACAAACAAGGACAAAATGCATTGTGCCTATGGCAGCTCATTCCATGTCAAGGAAATTTTATGAGTTAACCACTATTTCAAGATAACGAGGTATTACTGCATCACATCCTCCCGTCGCTGCAGTTAATGTGGTGTTATTCTTCAGTCAAGCCCCAAATATAGGTGACACAAAACTGAAGCAGAATAGCATATTAGATTGCCCTACAACTAGCCCACTCAGAGGATGATAACTGAACGACAGCATTTCAACACTGCTCACACTGTCCTCTTGAATTTCTTCAATTATTGTAGGCACATGCTACATGCACAGAAACAAAATTTAAAATCGTACTTCTGAAAAAAAAAAGAAAAAAAGAAACTGAACAAAAGATGCTGCTTGACATAGGTACAGGGCGTTTTTTAGACTGAAAATATTAAGAAAAAGCAGACACCTGAAATAAATAAACAATGCGGAGCGCAAGTTCGTCTGATTCTTGTACAGGGGTGTGATGATGTCAGAACGACGAGCTCTTATTGGTCGACTGGAAAAAAATTGTAGCGCCCTTCCACTTCACGTGAAGATGGAGGAACAGTGAAGCTGTTATTTTTATACGATGTCTAGGATAATGCCCAGAGGACGACGTGTAGAAGACCTCCAGGACGACTTCTAGGATGATGCCTAGAGGATAACATCCAGGATGACTTCAAGGACAACCTCAAAGACGACTTCTAGGACAACCTTGAGAATGACGCCTAGAGGACGACCTCAAAAAGGACTTCTAGGACAACCTCAAGGATGACTTCTAGGATGACCTTGAGGACTGCTCCTAGAATGATCTCGAGGACGTCTAGGCTGATTTCAAGAATGACTTCTAGGACAACTTCGAGGACGACCTCTCGGAGGACTTCTAGGACAACCTCAAGGTTTTTCCCAGATCCTAGGGCACAACAGCTTCGCTGTAAAATTGTGGGTAGATTGCAAGGCATCTAGCATTGAGGCCTACCCACTATCAGTGATGTGATTGGCCTAAGCCATTTTGGCGCACGTTCCGGAGCAACCAAAACAGTGTTTTGGAGCAGCAAATGTGGCATTTGGAGCAACCAAAACAGTGCTTTGGAGCAGCAAAAAGCGGCTTTTGGAGAAGCCAAGACAGTGTTTTGGAGCAGCAAAAGTGGATTTTAGAGCAGATATTCTTAGGAAAAAATAAATAAATATTTGTTTTAAGTGCTGTACAAACAAAGGGCACTTTGTGTTGTGTTGTGTTCTGATGTGACGTGTTGTGATGGAACTCGCTGCTTCCGTTTTTACTGCTCAGACATCCCACAAGTGTACAGTGCTGTAGGCACTGCCAAGCAATTTCAATTATGTTCGCATGCATGTGAGGCAAACTTCGGCAGGCTTGCTGTTGGGCATGCTTCGACGCGCGAGCGCAGAAAACAGCTGTCTGATCGAAACGGAAACCATGCCCCTCAGTTCCGTCGCTAACTTATCCCCAAAATTGTACACAAAATGTAACTTTCGAGCATGCGACAAAAACAGTCCAGTGGCGCGTGCTTGCAGGCCAGCAAACAAAGTACAAGGTAAAATAAAGAACCTGAGTGCATCGATGCAAGACATTGCGAGCCAGCCTCAAAACGTTCTTGGAGTGCTTTGTGCAACGACTGAACTCGAGACAAACACAAGCGCGCTATGCGGGGTCAGCGTGCAGACAATGCCTTCTTTGCTTCAGCTCACTTCCCTTCACCAACTTTCTTTCACGGCAGATTTTTCACGTACCGAGGTCCCTCTCGAAAGAAGGCCCACCGAGAGGAATCTAGATAATCAATACTTTGACACAACAGTCTTTGAATTAAAGATGGATTTTTGTAGTAACGTATAATTTAAACAAGAACAGGAATGTTGATGAACATGCGGTGGTCCTTACGTTACAGTTTAGAAAGTACCATATCTGCAGTGATGTGGGGACGGCAACATTCCACGTCGCGCGACCACGGTGACTGAAAGGTAGTGACCAAATATAGTTTTCCCATGGCCGTTGCTTCAGCTAACAAAGTAACTCCTGCCATGCCGAAACGTGGTTTCGTTTCACAGCATGACAGCATGGCTGGTACCCGGCACGCTAGCGTCAGAGTGTCTGCACACTCCGACGCTAGCGTGCGTCGGAGTGTGCAGCATCTTATATTTTTAGCGTCTATCGCTAAAAATATAAAAAAAAAAGAGACGAGAGACGAGACCCACAAGACCAGAGCGCGAGACGCGAGACGCCGGGAAAACCATGCAAGACCGAGTGGACAATTGATGCACGGTACTTTGTGTCAGGCGGCCGTTTGTGCCACATAACACACGCCTGCTCAATTACAGTACTCAGTTTAGTTTCTGTTCTGAAAGGCGACCTAAATTGGTCCTTTGGCGCAGGCTTGGCGCAGATTACCCATATTTCGGCGAAATGTAGCAGGGTTAGCCCCTTGGCGCAGTTTGGCGCAATTGGCGCAGCAATCACATCACTGCACTATCCTTTCAATCAAAGCCAGTCTGAGCTCAATGTTGCTTTCACGTAACTGCGACTCCCGCACAAGAAGCAGGCGACTGGCTCTCCGTATTCCTTTGGAAGAACGCCGTAGGCCGTAGCAGACATTGGGCTAATTATCTCAAGTTCAACGGAGACGCACGAGCCCTGTCCACAAAAAGGCCGCACTAGTGTGTTATGTGCTTAGGAATACGTGCCACTTACGGCAAGGTCTTCCTCTTTCTTGGGAGTGTGAGCAGTGGAGGAGTCCTTGGAGACGTTGCGTGGCGAAGCGACCGCTCGTGACTTGAGCGCGGACTGTCGCCCAGGGCTCTGCTTGTTCGACGACCCGGCCCCCGCAGAAGTAGATGTCGCAACAGATGCCTTCTTGTGGGGACTGGACACTTGCTGAGGCCTCACTACTGTGCCAGCCGCAGACAAAAAAAAATGAAAAGAGACGAAAAGTTCTCGTTACGAGCGTTTGCCAACTAAATTCAGATGGCCAGTTGTGTTCGCGACTGTCCTCTCCATTCTATCTGTCACATTGTTATTTGTTTGGTAGAAAGAATGACTGAAAAGTGGTACAACCATGTCTCATTACTATGGGCCCCTGTTAATAAGGACACCCTACAAGAAAGAAAATGTTTTGGGACCGATCCTGTCCTTGTTAAAGGGCAACTCCGCTTTATTTTTGATATTTAGAAAACTATGTAGCCCTCTTCAGTATCATATAGGAAGACCCCATGTCAAATATTACGACCTAATTCCGTTTATGTATTTAATAAACTGGTCAGCAAACCTTCAAGTGAGCCAAATCGCCGAAATCTGCCAACTCTAGCGTGCGGCACGAGGCGCAATCATCAGCGAAGTCCCACGGAGTTGGAGCAGCCGACATTGAGCCACTACGTCAGAGGCATGACTACGTCATTCTCACGTTTTGTTTGTTTTTACTTCTCGGAGCGAAATTGAACAATGACGTCATGAGTTTCTCCTCCCGGTGTTGGCTGACCGGGCGTCCATGTGATCACCGTAACGTGGATGCGCTAGTTTGCTCTGCCCTGCGCGCTTATCGGTCTGTTCTGCGCGTGTCCGATTGATGTCTGGTTGTAGTAAACCGTGCTTCCCTGTTCATGCTCTCGAATCAGCGCTTTAAAAAGTTTTGCACTACAATTGCTCTTTGGCACCAGTTCGTATAAGCTTGAGGTACCTGGTGCCCACATAATTTTGCAGCAAGCCTGTGTTTCCATCCTCATCTATGCGCATAAAACTCGCGTCCGCCTCTTCCGTTTTTGTTTTTTTTCTTTTATAATTTATCTGGGTCCGTATCGGAGCTGATGACTTATTGGAACCAGGGTGGACAAAAATAATGATTAAAAAAGAAAAATCTGATTTATGTGATGTATATCAAATGTTTTATTATTTAAATTGCTGATAAGCTGCTCTAACATTTTCTGCTCCTAATCTGCTCCAAACTGTAGACTTTTGTGCTTCGAAGTTGCTCCAAAATGCATTAAACTGCTGCTCCAAAGCGAGAATTTTGTGCTCCTAAGCTGCTCCAAAATCCAGATTTTTCTGCTCCGAAAATTGCTCCAAAACCTGTTTCACCTGTCTCACCCCTGGATGGAAACGATGTGAATCCTACAAGCATTCCATCAACTTCGGTGTCTACACGTCAGTGGGACTCAGATAAGAAGTCCTGATTTAGAGTAAGATATGACACCTGGAAGTCGAGGAAATATTTCTGTCTTATTTTAATGCAAATTGCCTGTTTAAAATAAGATTTTGCGGTACATTCCTTGAAGAAAAAAATAAGTAGGCAAGGAGTTAACGCATACCATGTGTACACTTGATGGCTGTTCCTTGAATGAAGCGATACTACCACTAGTTGGGCCTATAAACCTGGCAATCGTCCAGAGCTTTACATACTCTTGAGCTCCTCTCCCTCAGTGCACGCACAAATGCTCAAGCTCCCCCTCTAATCACATGACCTTCCCATTAACCAATCAGCGTCGAGCACCTCGCTCCTCCTCTCCCACCTGTCAACCAATCAGTGTCAAGCCTCACAGCCACACTTTTATCTGGGCTTCACGAAATGCCAACGAATGTTTCATGTCAAAATATCCGACTCCAAAGTAAAAAATGTTTTAGGTGCAATCTTGACACCATAATCTAAAACTTAGCGAGGGGGAAAAAAAATTCTGAGGATACCTAAGCACTTCTCATGAGTTGTGAATGTGAAAGTATGAATGTTGTTCTTCCACTCCCTTAGCTCATCTGCGGTGTACTGGCGTGGAACACCACGTTTCGCTACTCCAGAGGCCGAGGCTGCCGACGATATACCGTAATATCCCGAGTCATCGCCCATCCCCGAGCCATTGCCCACCTCATTTTTTGGGCCCATATCGATTTCCGAAAAAACATCGAGTCATCGCCCACCCCTTCAAATACCCCAGCGCGGACTCTGCGATCCGCGAACACTCATCCTACCCGAAGGACGCGGCCGCGGACCTTACAGTTGGAGGACGTCCGTGACAAAGTAAAACGAAGGAGGGAAAGACACTTCTTTTTGTTTACGCATTTCCTCCGTGAGCGACCCCAAGGTGGTCGTGTATCCGTGCGAAAAGAAAACGATGGAGATAACAAAATAAGAGTTTGTTAATGTAACCGCGGAGTGTAAGGTCAAAGTCTGTCTCCGCCGAAGTAAGGTCACCGCGAACCCGCTGCTTCTTCCCGCCCGTCGCGACCGCGGTTGTGCAATATTTTAGGCTAAGCCAACGCGTAAATAAAGCTTTGCTGGAATGCCCTACACAAGACGTTTGCAGAGCGTCCCAACCGTGCATTGATAGCCCGGTGTGCACAGACGCACGTCTGTACGCACTAAACAAGAAAGTTGCGCAAGAGCTTGCAATGGACGTTTTGTAGAAACATCGGTTCGAGAGTAAATGTTTCCAGTACCCTCTCTCTCTTCCTTCTGGCCGAGCAGAGAGGGAAGATGGTTTCGTTGTGTCGACTTCGGTGCGGGAGATTACGCACGATGGGTACAAAGGCGAGTTTGGGGGAGCCGTATTTAGGTCACAGCGCCTCAATGGGTAAACAGGATGTAGCTAACGTTTTGGGTGTGGAACGGGTGGGAGAGGCCTTGCGCGCGCGTTGTTTTCTAGCCGCTTAGCCTCGAACCCAGTTGCGTGTCTAGGTGGCAGCACATATTCGCCAAGAGGTCCACTGACAAGGCGCCCGACTTGGCCTGACGCCAAAGTATTTGCCAACGCGACCGCCGGCTTTCCAGCTTTCCCTGCATTGCTCTTGGTCGCTTCTTTGGTCCGCTCGTTCGCTCGCTCGTTGCGCCTGGTCGGTTTTTCTATTTTCTTGTAGACTTTTCTTTCTTTCTTTTTTTTTTCACTAACTAGGAGAACATAGTGGTGACATTCTTTCACGGAACAAACGTTCGCGCTATATGCAGATCGGCGGTGTTTCTAGCGCGTATGCAAGCAACGGATTTCGCTATAGTAAAATATTCTTTCGTGAGCATTTTTTTCTATAAAACAATAAAACTAAATGGAGTTTTGAGTTTGATGTATCTCTTGTGCATCAGCGCTAGGTACGCAGAAAAAAATAGGCGGATTTTTCCGCTTTTTTTCAAGTGTTTGTGCTCACCCACTGAGACATGGCCCACCCCACTTTTTTAATGAATTTCAGGTGCTAGGGGGGTGGGCGATGAATCGGGATATTACGGTAGATGCCTCAAGCGCCGCCATGTTCCTCGGCGAGCAGAAGCGGCCGCAGCCCTGCCCCTCCTTGCCCTCTCTCCCCTTCCTTCCTTCCCCCTTTCCCCCTTCCCTTGGCGATGCCTCTGACACGAGAGAGGCAGCCGAGCGTGTGGCATCCTCGGCGCCGCGGCAGTTTCTGCTCCTCTCGGCAGGGGCCGCAACGCCATGGAGAGGGAATTCCCATTGGCTGCCGTGCGTACGTCAACAACAATGCGCGGCAGCCAGAGTTCCCCCCATCGTTGTTGATGCGCGGCAGCCATGGGAATTTATTTATCAATTTGCTGCTACAGACTACAGGCTTCGCTCCATGGGACAGGGAAATTTAGATGCCGTTTGGCACGGCTTCAAAAGATGATAATGTTGATTCGCTCCATGGGGTAGAGTTAATGCTTTCGCATTAAAAAGTATTTTTTGGAGGTGTGGGGTCAGAGATGTTCGGAGGCAACTCACTCATGTGCTTGGGTTGGGGCGTGGAAGGGGCGCTCTGAGGGGGAGGGGCCGGCACGCTGAAGCTTTTGAGGGGGTTCCCGGAGTGAGCTCTCTTGGTGAGCGTGCCGGACTCTGCGGGGCCTGGCACGGAGCCCCCGGGTCCCGGGCCAGGGGGCACGGGGGGTCCCCCTACCAGGGCATTGCTGTAGGCCGGCAGCTGGCCCATGGCACCCCCCCCGTGGCACATGCCCGGGTTCAGGATGGGCTCATACGTCGGGTTCAGGCCCCCCGGCTTCTGGGGGCTGGCCATCATTCCGTCGTGACCTTGGAGGAGGGGAGATAAAATAGTAGTTTGATCGAGAAGATGGAACAACGAAATGCTGAGCGTCTTATTTCAACAAACTACAAAAATAAGTGTTTTACGCTGTGATGCCAATATGCTGTGTGTGGCTATAGTCACCAAAAGAATGGCAGGGTGTGTCTTTCAAATGCCCGGCCTCCGGTGGGCGCTCCGTGCCTTTCGCCACACTTTGGTCAGCTGTGTGCGTGTGCTCAAGGTGCACGAGACGCCGAAGCGTTGTTGAAGGTAGGACGCTTGTGCCGGGGGCGACTACGGGTGGCGAAACTTTTTTTTAAAATGTGTTAAATTGAAGGATTAAGTCGAGAATTAGAACCCGCTTGAAACTAGATTTTACAGAATCTGCTGTACACTTTATTGCCTTAGATAAGGGATCGGCTAAAGGGATACGGGCAATTTGAACCTTAAAGGACAAGCCAATTATTTGGAACTGTTGTTTCTATTTGTAGCCGCAGCCATGATGTGCATGGCTTCACATGGATTCGAATGTGCACAACAAGTGCGCTCCACGAGCCGAGTGCTTGCGGATGCAATAACGGCGACAAAGGTGAGACAGTATTTTAAGCGTTCCAAATGCGGAACCACGCTGGAGGCAACAAGGCGCAGAAGTGGAAGACATCAAGCGACGGGCCCGAGCTCTCCTGACTTCCCCCTGGCCTGGCCTTCGGCGCCAACCGAGCCCCACTCCTCCGCCGAGGGCTGGTGCGCATGTTCCCGGGAGCCTCTCAAGCATATGCCACCCCAGACGCCGACGCTGCCGTACCTTAATGCGGGCCCTCATCCCATCGTCACCATCACCACAGCACCCAGAGCGCCCCCCCCAAGATAATGAAGCAGCGGGTGCCTCTGCTCTGTCGTCGCAACCCTGCAATGTACACAGCGTGTGCGATCAGCAAGAGGTGCATGTATAGACGTGCGCACGCATACACGCTGGTCTGCGTGTCTGGCGTGTGTGATAAAAGATTTAATCAGCCGCTGCGCAGTGATTTTATCACACACGCCGAACATGCGGACTGGCATGTGCGCATGCGCCCATCTGGACACACGCTACTTGCTGATAGCGCATGCCACGCGCGTGGCAAGGTTGCGATGACCATAGCAAGCAGTCTCAGCAAACTATCAAGTCATTCTATGATTGCCTTCGAAATTGTGTAGTGTTATGCAATGCTCTTGCCTGTTCAGACACTTAGCTTTTGTACCATTTCCAAGTGCCTGTTGCTTTGCAATCTGAATGTTTTAAAAGAGTTTTTGTATGTGTGTGCAAATGGCCTCGTCTATACAGGAATTATGACCCCAAAGTATTCACCCTAAAAGCAAACCTTTAATCATTACACTAGCTATGCACATCACATGTTCGCCACCGAGAAGAAACCCATTTTCAAGCTGCATTTTGTTAGTACCATACTTTGTGCAACTCCTTTAAAAAAATTACATGCACATTCATTCAACCAACCGCGATGAAATGTGGTAGCTTCATGAGAACATTGTTAGTGAAAACAATTAGGGAAGGAAATGGTACGGTGACGAAATGATTGTAATATACCGAACACACATCAAGGACGACGTTGAGGATGACCTCCAGGATAACATCAAGGACGACGTAAGAATGGCATCCAGGAAGACCTCTAGGATGACTTCAAGAATGATGTCTGGGACGACCTCAAGGAAAACTTCAAGGACGGCGTCGAGGATGACGTCGAGGATGGCGTCTAAAACAACAAGAGCTGCACTCGTGTATGAGCTGCACCCCTAAATTTAAAGCAAAATATCTCGAAAAAAAAATTTTTTTAATCTATTTGTGTAAGAGCTGCTCCCCTTCCTTTTGACACGGGGTGCCAGCGTAGCCTGCCGTGCTGGCCGAGCTGCCGTGTTTTAACATGTCTCCGCGACATGGAGCCCCTTCGCAACAACCAAAACCACGAGATAGCACCGCTGTTTGCGGAAGTATTTCTTGGCGAAGTTTAGTCTCCACCAGTTTGTAACTTGAGTGCAATGGGCAAGCGCTTCGACCACAACAGGGCTGGGTTTAAACTGAAAGTTGGGGGTTTCACCCTGAAGCACAGCAAGTGTGCAGCAGGACGACAGTATGACATTGACGAGAAGTAGTATGTGCGGCGCTGGTGCGACCAAAAGGATGCTTTCACCAGCGCAAACAAAACAAGCCTCGCATTCTGCGGCAAGTCCTGCAAGTTCCCCGAGCTGGAGAATGAGCTCTTCAGCTATGTGAAAGAAGTGCGCAATAATGGGTATGCTCTCTCGACGGACAATGAAAGCACCGGAACTGGCGCATGCAAAGGACGTGCCTTCAGGAGATTTCAAAGCGAGCGCCGGATGGAACCAAAGATTTATGAAGCAAAAAGATCTTTCCATTCAACGAAGGATGACGATGGATGTGCCAGCTGCTTCTCAAAAAATACGAGGACAAGCTCCTCAGCTTTCAAAAATATGTTCTCGTGCTGCGGAAGGAACATCCAATACATGCTGTCCCAAGCTGGGAATGCCAATCAGACTTGCCGGAGAACTGTGCAGTAAATGCCAAGGGCGAAAAGAGAGTGCTCGTGCGTACCTCGGGAGCGAAACGCCAGCGTTACACTGTCATGCTCAGTATCACCGCGGATGGGTGGAAACTGCCGCCGTACGTGATGTCTAAAAGGAAACGGGTTCCTGCCGAGGAGTTTCCCCATGGAATCATTGTCTGTGCACAGGAAAAGGGCTGGATGAATGAGGAACTGGTAGTGGACTGGCTGAAAACCGTTTAAGGAAATCGCCCCAAGGCTATGCTAGAGAAGAAGACCCTACTTCTGCTGGTGCTGGATAGCTTTCGCGGCCATCTGACTGAAAAAGTGAGGGCGGAGCTATGCGAAAAGCACACAAACTTGGCCGTCATACCGGGTGGGCTTACAGGCATGCTGCAGTCCCTTGATGCTAGTATCAATCGGCCCTTCACAGTGGAGTTCCGTCGATACTACACCAAATGGATGGCCAGCGAGAACCATCAGAAAACGTCCACTGAACGGCTCAAGAGAGCATCTTTGTCGACTGTGGCTGGGTGAATTGTGACCGCATGGGACGCCATCTCGCTTGACATCTTTGCAAAGAGCTTCAAGGTGACCGGAATCTCGAACAACCTCGATGGCACCGAGGATGACGTCGTGTGGCAGTGCGTCTTTGAAGTGTCAGACTCCAGCACCGAGGACAGCACAAGTGACGAGGAGTGAGGCCCAATAAAAGATGTTTGGAACTAGCGCATCCGACCGGAAGTATGTCCATTTTTACATGCACATATATATCAATATTTTTTTTCATTTGTGTATGGGCCGCACCTTAAAAGTGGGCCTTCAATTTTAAAAAAAATTTGCAGCCCTTATTTGAGTTTTCACGGTATAACATCACATCCATTGTGCTTCACGCCTTAGTTCCCATGGCCGAAACCCCGCGGCTGCAACACAAAATATTTCCATTTCTTTCTTCACTATTATGCCACAAATTAACAATATTTCGAAAGAATGAGGCAGTTTCTCCATTCTTTTTAGTAAGACAGGCAATGTAAAAATTTAAAACTGCAAATTCTTTCGAAGTTAAAATTGTTGCATCGTCCCTTTAATATTCATCAGCTCGTTCGTGCCTTCACATTCAGTTACTTTACATGTTGTCCGCCACCATTGTTTTAAACAGTTTCCAGGGCAAAATCACCGATATCTGTATGAACTCTTGAAACGTCAACTGGACCAAGAGAGTGCAAAAACCCAAGTGTGTCACTGAAAAAAATTAGCATTCCTGTGTGAATCTACAGTACAGTCACAGCAATATCTGTGACAGCTTATCTGACCCTAACGTATCCCTTATGCAGAACTTGTGCTCGTGCTTGTGAGAACAAAGTTTCTTGCCTTGGCTTCGTTCTCACGAGCACACACCTTACAATTCTCCCGGTTACGACGGCAAGCTGTTGCTTAAAATGCTCTTTGGTCTGATGAGCCTTGGTGTTCCCTTGCTGCAGCGGCAAGTCTGGCTTTGTCTTCTGCTTCTTCTTTCCACAAACGGCACATTATCTTGAGGAGCCATAGCCAATGTCCGCTCGGAAAGTTATGCACTCATTTCATAGACTCTGTAACAAATGCAGCATGAGACTCGGGTGGTGCGATGTGACATTACCGCAAATGCGGCCATCTAGAGTGCACTGTGCGAGACCCATATTTGCAGGTGTCCTCAACACGTGCAATCATTAGGCGATGCACTGCAGAAACCGGCGCAGCTCTGTGGTAGCACACTCGCTTCACACTTAAAGGGACACTGACAGGGTATTTATGCTCGCCAAGGTTTTTAGTTGTACGTGACATATGAGAGCTCCACTACCCAGAACAGAATTTGCGGCTCGAAATTCGGTTTCTTTCCGCCCGAAAACCGCCGATCAAGAACTGGCCGGTTCGAGTCTCGCTCACTCTCTTTTTCGCGGTCACGGGCCGTTTTCTAAGGTATCGATGCGACCACCAAATTTAATCAAAGTCGTGGGTCACTGAAGGCACACACTCAATATTAAAAATAGAAAAAAAAATATGAAACCCATTTTTGTGGCTTTTAAAAGCTGTAAATACGTTGATTGAAAAAAAAAGTTCCACAGACAACCGGAAGCATTCTGTGCGTTCGTCGTTTCGCGTATCGTGGGACTCGCAGGGACGGCGATGGCACCGGACGACGGGCGTGGGACCTCTATTTCAGAACTGTTGTTCGCGGTACCGGCGAATTCTGTCTACCGTTAAAAGACAAATTTGGGACTGATCAAAAGAATTGGTATTCATCCCGTACGACACGCCAGGCCACCAAGCCGATTTGCACGAAGACGTCGCCGAGCCGTCGCTCCCTTCTCGTGGCTGAAGACATCGCTCGCGCAAACGTCAAGCACGACGTGTCTACTTCGAGTTGAATATGCACGCGTACGATTTCTTTACTAGGAGCGAATGTTCCCAAAGCGTGGTGCTTCCCGACTTCGACTCGGGAGTGCTTTTGCTAGAGAAAAATCGGCAGCAAACTTTCCAACTTACAGTTTACCGGCTGAATTATTACTAAGGAAAGAGATCCACCAGAAGAGAGATGACATGATTATGTTGTTAGCTTTGTGCAGCATTTGGAGATCACGTATGGCTGTTCGACATGCTGACCTCGATGCAAAAGAAGTGCGGATATATTTCTTCAACCTTGTAAAACAAGTACAGAGTGTGCATTTGAACTGTGAACCTGAACCGGAGTGGACTAGTATTTTAAAATCACTCCTCGAAATGCGTGAATTTTAATACGCTGTGCAAAAGAGCTGTGCAGTGCTGTTAGAACGACATGAATGTTGCTGTAACTACCATGCAATAAAGAAAAAAAAAAAAATGCCCCAGGAGCTCAGTGGGAAAGACGTCCGCTTCTCACGCGGCAGGACCGGGCTCGATCCCCCGTGAGACTTCATTTTTTTTTTTTCAAACATTTTCCAATATTTACATATCTTTTTCTTTTTTTTCACAATCATCACTGAAGAAACAAACAAAAAAATAACAAACAAATGTTGTGGACGATACTTTGCTGAATTAAATGGTATGGGATTTCCGTTTTGACACCTGCGAACTCAATGTAATCACTTTCCATAAAATGCAAGGAGCATATAAATCAGGTAGCGTCCGCTTTCCGATGTGCCCGTAAATGTTCTACAGGAATTGCAGCCAGCCATTAGTCCCGATCCCGTTGATCTTTCGGAAACTCTGTCGCACAATGCCACTTTTTTTCGGATGCAGGACATGTGAGCCACCTCTTCACGCAACATCTTGGGTGTATTCTTTTCGGAGCCGATCATGAAAATTCACCACGGGCACTCACTACTCATCTCCGACTCCTGAATGTGCAAAACAACTCATCTTGGAGTACAGAACAACGAGCGGAACAAACATAACTGCAAAAGAATCGCACGGCGAGCAGTTCCCGTACGCCGCATGTCGTGTCGTCTGCTAGGGAGAGGAGAAAAAAAAACAAAAAACCGCACGGTCGGGTGTAGCCACGTGACTTCCGCCACTCACTCTCTTCTCTCCACTTCTCCGACCTCCGTCGGGTTTCGGTTTCGGTTTCGAGCAGTTGCGTCTTTTGGCTTTATTAAAAAAAATACGCTACTCTGTTGCAAAATATTAATTGGGTAGTCCTCCGACACCATAATAAAGCACCTGGCAAAAAATAAAAAAAAATTTTTGGGGGGTGTCAGTGTCCCTTTAACAAACTCAGAACTGAATCCTGACAGCGGCAGCGGTTTTTGGGGATTTTCAAGCATGGGGTAATAGTGATGACGAAAGCCCTACAATGCTGTATATTGTCCTACATCATTTCGAGTGGAAAGAAGAGCCCATAACAGCCATTGCTAAAAAAAAAAAGACAGGTGCAGTTTTTGTGTGCATGCATATAATTTCCAGCTCATTTACCTGGGTGCAGTGAGTCAATGGTCACGTGGGCTCTGGGGATATTGTACTGCGTCCTGGGATAAATGGGCCGCCCCATGTTGACCGAACTCCCTTCTAAACCGGGGTTCATGTTGCCATTGGAAACGGCCGCCGGTCCCATGGCTGAAACAAAGAAGCCGGCAAGGTTGGAGCAAGCCGATGACCTGAATTGCGGCAGTAACACCGATTGCACAGTAAACGCAGTGTGGGTTGTGCAGAACACTGTCTCACGAGGCGAGTACTCACATGCTTTACTGGAATCAGGCAGTGACTTGCGAGAGTCAAGGGGCAACATCACAGGCTTAGACCGAGACGACCTTGGCAACAAGGGCCTATCTGTTTTGCCGCTGTCATCGCTGCTTAACTGGTCTGTGTGTAGGGCAAAAGAAACAAAGGGAGAACCGAAAGAAATGCTCATGCATCGACACAAAACATAACTTTGGTGAACAAACACGTGAGACGGAAACGGGAGTGTGCAACGTCAAAGGATAGGCTCACGTATGTGCGGGAACAAAATGGCAATCCAAGGTGAGCAGGAATGTGAATAAAACAAAGCATGCGGAAGTGCGACGTCCAGAGCTCATGGTGAGAGGCAGTCAATGGTGAATGTTTAACCTGGCAAAATATGCAAATACAAGCTGAGGTAGACATTCAGATTGAATCATCCATAGACTTGAGCATCCAGTATTGGTGCTAGATGTGTTCAGGAGAAAATAATACAAGCAGGTGATATACATCTGCACCAAAAACACTCGATAAAAAGTGGTAAATGTCGGCCCTCATCATAAATCAAGGCAGGGGGTAGCAGCAAAGGATGCAAGTTGGCACTTGAGCAGAAAACAATGGGGAATCCTGTATGCTGAGCATGCACCTGCTCTTGCGTCCTGTCTGCTACCTTTAAGTATTAGATTTGGCCAGAGAGCAACATAAACAGTGTTTTCATCTTCTGAATAGTGTGAACAAGGAAAAAGATTGGAGCCGCAGCAGCTTTCCCTCGCGGGAATCAGCTGCACAGTGCACTCTGACCATCGCCACATACTGGGGGCAGTTGGTGCAGCATGGCCTTTCATTCCTGCTCACAAAATAAAAAGTGAAACATACTCTGTGCACCTAGAAGATATATGTAGCATATAAAACTCACAAGTTTGTTTAAAAAATTACCATCAATGGCATAGCCGAAGCAGTTGCTTGATAAGGGAAAACAGTACTTATATACTTTCTCAGTGGTCAGTGATATCCTCACATTAAAGTTAGAATTAAAATTCTCAAAATGTTTCACTTCATTGCATTCATTGTGTAAAGCTAGCATGATTTAACAAGACCATTCATGAAAGAAAAGACTCCCATTTATTTTATTTTCTGCCGTGCAGCAGTGTCTACAAAAAAGACACTCCTCTCAGGCATGAAACCATTGCAACCACTCTGTCACAGTTACCTCCTATACTTTGTATAGTAGTCTACATACAGCAACCACATTGTAACCCTGAAAGCAAAATGGCACGTCCACTCCTGACTTTTCCCATCTTTGACAAGAGGTGCACAGACAAAGGTAGGCATGCATATCATATATGGTGCGGGCAGAAGGCCATAATGAACATAAATAGCGCGAAGAACAGACAAGGACGTGAAGACGGGACTAGAGCTTTGCACGGGGCTGGGCACGGCCAAAAACCCGGCGGCCTGCGGGCCGGGATTGGGCCAGGTGACAAGGATTGTTTCCAGGTCAGGGCCGGGCCCAGGTAGGCGAGCACGGATTGTTTCTGGGTTTCTGGGCAATAGTGTAGCACACTTTCTACAACGTTGAGAAGAAAATGCTAACGCATTGATCGTACAGATTTAAAAGAAACGAAAAAGCCAAAGTGCAAAATCGCTGCGACTGCACTAAAAAAATTTTAGAAATAAAAAAAGCTGTATTGGACTAAGAAAGCCCACAAGAATAGATAGAAAAGAATCCTGGAGAATCCATCAGCATAGTGGTGCAACTGCCAACAGGCAAGAAAACGAGGGCAATCCGCCTACAAGGGACAGTACAACTGTCTTTCTCAAATTTCCTCTTTAAACCCTTAGAGAAAAAAAAAAAAGCCCTCTGGCTACCAAAGACAATCTACATTTTCTATATTTCTGTAAGCTTTCGAAGGTTCACCACGTGACAACGATATGACAGCGTTTTTCATGCAACTTAGTAAACAAATCAAATGAACCAGCACCTTTCCAGGGCAGCTTTCAATTTAAGAGGGCCAGGCCCGGGCCAGGTCCAATCAGGCAGGCATCCCATCGGGCCGGGTCCGGGTCAAGTAGACTAAGAGTCGGCGGGCCTCAAAATGTAGGCCCGTGCAGTGTTCTAGACAGGACTACTGCTAACACACAACTGTATTTTTTGAGAGGATGAAAATGGCAGGGGGGAATTACAGTTGCATTGCCCAGAGAGCTCCCTACCTTCGATGGGACTCGGCAATTAAAAACAGTGCATAGACATGGACAAGAACGAGAAGGACAGCACTGGCTTAAAACTGAAGTTTATTTGTGCAAACATTGAGTGTAAATACTGCAATGCCAAACAAACAAACCAAGAGAAAAAACATTAAAAAACTGTCTGCAGAAACCACTATTGTTGGTTGTCTATGAATTGCGATAGCATTCGTCATGTTTATTTTCGTTTTGTTACGAGGCCATGGATGACGTCAAGGACGGCGCCTAGGACGGCGCCTAGGACGACTTTGAGGACAACGTCGAGGACGACATCCTAGAGGACGACATTAAAAGTGCACTAAAGAAGTTTCCGAGATCGTCTGTTCTTGGTGATAGCTTCTTTCTACGGGACCTTAGCATTCCAGAAATCGAAAGGTTACACTCGTGCGGCGTCTATTTCCTTAATAAATATGTGATCAAAGTTTTGCCACGCTCCTTTCTGAGCGGAAAAATCTGGAGCACGAAATTCAGCGAAGGCGCCGGCGGCGTGACGAAGGGCACACGTCAGCCAATTGCAAGCGGAGGCGCCGGCAGCGTAGGGGCCGCCGACGCCTCTGCTGAATTCTGTGCTCTAGAATTTTCTACCCAAAAAGTGGCGTGGCACAAACTTCTATCACATTTTTAGTAGGAAAATAGACATCGCACAAGAATAATTTTTGGATTTCTAGGATGCTGGGAGCCCATAAGATAAGTTATCCTCAAGAACAGACAATCTCAGAAACGTCTTTAGTGCACCTTTAAGAACAACGTCCAGGATGACCTCTAGGTCAACCTTATTTTTATTCAATTATTTGACGATATGACAATAACCGATTGACACTGCACTGATCGTGCGTCATACGGTGAGCTGATATTGAAATGACACTGCATTGATTTAGCGTCAATAATTTGTTTATGAATAAGTGATTTTAAAGGCATGATATTTTTTCCGCCAAATTTGGAGGGGAAACTGAATTGGCACCATACCGTGTTTGCACGATTCTAATGCGCCCCCGATTCTTACACGCAGGCAAATTTAGCTCCCAGATATTGAAAAATTTAATTGCTGCCGATTCTACCGCGCAGGTAAAATAATGGACTTTGAACACATACATCATAGAACCGATTTTATGAAACGCACGCCAATACACAAAAATAAATACCGCGCACAAGTCACCGTTGTTGGAATCTGGCAATAATTCTTCGCTGTCCACAGACTGCAGAAGATGATCCTTGCTTTCGTCTAAAGCATCTGAGGTGCCGTGCTTCTTGCGCTTGTACAAGTGTGCGACCATCGCCTATTAGAGGGACGTCTTCCAAACAACACTTCGCGAGCTCGTCGGGTTGCTGGGATTGCGAGGCCACACAGTGTCGCTCCGCTGTTATTGTTTCCCGCCAGCGTGATGACGTTTCGTTCAAATAAAGCCTTCTAGTGGAATTTATTTCGTTTTTCCATCTTGAAACGGCAGACACGAGTCCGTAAAGGCGAAAGAATGCGCGATACGGATACCAAAATGCCGAATGTAAAGAACCGGTCACAAAAACAGTTGGGCTAGCTGCCTTATACCGAGTATTGCATTTTTCTTTTGAGTTTTGGTTTTCGGTTTCGATTGTAACACGCATCTAATTTTAGGCACCAATTTTGGTGAAAAAAAGTGCGCGTTAGAATCGTGAAAACACGACAGGCCACATAATGTCAATTTTTTTGCTAAATTTAGCGGGGAACTAAATTGGTGCATATCTCACGTGACGTAAATTCTTCTGCTCAATTTTGCGGGGAACCGAAATTTGTCTGTACGTTTCGTGACGTTATATCACGCGATATCAATTTTACCGACAAATTTAGCGGGGAGACTGAATTGGTGCATAGGTCACGTGACGTCCATTTTTCCGCTAAATTTAGCAGAGAAACTGAATTGGTCCATAGGTCATGTGAAATCTATTTTTCCGCTAAGCAAGGAACCTGAATTTGTCTGTAGGTCCCATGACGTAAGGTCACGTGACTTCAATTTTCCCGCTAAATTTAGTGGGGAAACTGTAACTGAACTTGTTTGTAGGTCTCGTAACGTCAGGTCACGTGACATCAATTTTTCTGCTAAAATTAGCAGGGAAACTGAATTGGAGCACAGGACATGTGAGGTAAATTTTTCCGCTAAATTTTAGCACAGGAGGCCAAAAAGGTCCATGAAATCTGGGGCAAGGGGGGAGGGGGGTGGGTGGTAAAGAATGCGAGTGCATTTAAAAAGGCTTGAGGTACACCTAAGCACTTCTTAATAGTTGTGAATGTGAAAGCATGCAAGCCGCTCGTCCACTCCCTTATTTCGTCTGCTGCGTACTTTCCGTCGCCGGTCAGCGCATGTGCCCTTCTGGGAGTGCTGGCCTTGGATGCTCCGTGTTAATGGTGCGTCGATGGACACGCGGTTGCTGAAACTGATGCGCAGTGGCCAATGGGAGCCTCATCGATACGCGCCAGCAAATAGTATTGAAGCCAAAAATCCATCAGCTTTACTCCGCTCCTTTGGGATTGGGGAATTTAGGTGCCGTTGGCTAGCTTATTGCATGGTTTCATAGTTGGAAGCTGGCTTCACTTGAAGAAAGGATTTAAGGTGCCGTTTGGCACGGCTCACTCTATAAGACAGTTAATGCTTTCACATTAAAAAGAGTGCCACGTGCTCCTTAATTAAGCCACAGTCACACACTGCTCCAGTGCATCTAAAGAGCAATATTCTTTATATGGCAGAAATAGTGATGGTACGCTGACACAGTTTGGCCCTAATCTCCCAATCTCTTGCGCTTCTGTAATTTCTCAAGTGAGTTTGTTATGGTGCTTTTTAATTGCTCCACACTTGCCAAAGTTGGGAGAGCACTGACAGTTATGGCAATGCAAGCCCAGATGTCCTGACACAACCTTAAACATGCTGTACTTACGTTCTCTTAAGTGATCACTTAGGCATCACCCCGTCTGCCCGACGTACCTCCAATCGCACGACAGCGGAACGGAGTACATAATCCCCTGTATGCAAGTTACAAATCGGTCATGGTGTTTCTTTGTGCATCCCTGTTCTTCTTTAGCAATGGAATTGACCTTCATACACAGCCTAGGCAGCTCTGCCGGAGCTGAGAAATTGACATCACCCACATTTTTTTCTCTTGGCTTGTTTGTCTGTTTGGCGTTGCAGTATTTATACTCAATATTAGCACAAATAGACTTCAGTTGTGAATCAGCGCTGTTGTTCATCCGCCTTCTCATTCTCGTTTGCGTCTTAGCATCATTTTTATCTTTTAACCATGAAACACCAACTAGCCCAAATGTCAGGCTTCAACGTCTCATGAGCCTCGAGCATGCGCACGTAGCCAAAGAACGGTAAAAGGCAACAAGTGTCTGCTGAGGGCCCGGCGTTCGAGAGATATGCCCTGCCATTCTCACCTTGTCAGTTACCATAGTTGTCCCATCTTTGTGTCCTAGTCTGTCCTTCATGCTATTCCACTTAGCCGACTAGCCCACCTTAATATATTAGTAGAGGAGGGCCACATCCTGCACGGGCACCCTCTGTGCCCCCGACTCACCCATGTAACCGCCCGAGTTCTTCTTCTTCTCCAAGGTACCCACGATGTGGTCCTCGGACAGGTCCTGGGAGTTCCTCGAGATGGGGGTCACAGTCATGGCTGCCTCCGGGTTGCTGCTTTTGTCCATGGCCTTGAGTTCCATCTGATCGTGGTGGATCCAAAGGTCGGGTGGCTTCAGGTCCTTGGTCGCTCCTTTGCCCTTGGCGATGCCCTTACTGCTGGCATACCTGCAACGTGCATACTCCATGTGAGGAAACTGGCCCGTCACGTACCCCAGCAACCAGGCTGCAAAGTGAATATCTCCAAACCAAGTCTGGGGGGCAAGCCAAATTGAAAACAAATTTTACCGGTCATTTATAGGACATAATTAGGCTAGAGACTTTCCGGTTTAAACCGAAAACATATATGATAAACACCTGTTGATGTCCAAAATGCAAAATCAGGTCAGATTGAAAAACACAAATTTCTTGAAATGCTTGGTTCAGCTAGGACTGTTCCTGTCGAAAAAATCCCTTTATAGGCTAGAATTTTTAGTTTTTCATGCAATTCTTACCGATGATCATTTGTTTTTAACGTCCGTCTAAAGCAGATTACCGAAATACACCCATACCTTAAAAATAAACACAGAAAACCATTCACCCATTTCCCTTACCGTAAAATTCCATAAGGATGCCCTCCCCTGAAAGATCGCCCATCCTGTTTTTCTGGCTAAATATCCGCAACATAAAAATTCCGAAACATTGCCCACCCCTTCGATTCCAGTTGGATGTTATGTGATGTCCGACGGGAATCGCATCAACCGTGTGATCTGCGGTACCGGTATGTCTGGCAAGCGAGTTCATATCAGGTTCCCGAGTATTTGTCCACGATCTGCGAGCGTGATATCGACTCCCGTAACAAGCGACCTGTAAAATAGCAGCATCCGTGATGTGTGGCATTTGTTTCCGTGACATGCGAGTTTGTAGCGGATTCTTGCGTTTTTTTCTACGATCTGCGAACGCGATATCAGTTCCCGTGACAGTAGCTTGTTCCCGGATGTTCATTGCACCATGAAACTTGAATCTGCTGCGTCCTTAATATCCGTTCCCGAGAGATGCGAGTTCTTAACAGGTTTCCGTGGGTCCTTTGCACTGTGAAACGCGAATCTGCTGCGTCCGCATCCTGCAGTATCCTTTCCCGTGACGCAGGAGTTTGTAGCGAATTCCCACGTATTTATCGCACCATAAAACGCGAATTTGCCGTGTCCGCAATCTGCGGTATCAGCTCCCGCGTCACGTGGCTTGTAGCAAGAAAGGGTACTTTGTGGACCCTAACCAATTTCTTCAATGTGCCCGAAGCCAGCTCAGCTCCTTGTTCACGGGTGAGTGTGTGTGAACCCAAAGGTAGCAATCTGTTGTTGTTTTCTTCTTCTTTCTCTCAATATTGTTTTCTTCTGTTTTTCTGTGTGGCGCATTGTAGCCCGTGTATATAGCTGCTTGGCAGTGTTCTGGTGTATCGGTTCAGATTTGTAGCAGGTATCCCAGCGTTTATCAATAACGTTTAAGAAAGTTTTGCTCTCGGTCTTCCCCAAAGATAGGCCACCCCATATTTTTTCACCTTTTATCTCTTAATTTTGGGTGGGCGTTCTCGAAATTTTACGGTATATACATGCACACCACAAACTCTATGGCCTAAACATAACCTCAGGGACACAGAAAACACAAATTATGCCTCTAAGATTAGCCAAAGAATGATAGTTTTCAATTCACTCTCTCGACATTGTTTCCTACCTATTGGGATTGCCAGAAAAATCTTACATTACTTACAATCAAATACAGTGGAATCTCGTTAATTCAAACTCGAGGGGGACCGAAAATTTGTTTGAATAAAGCAAAGTTTGAATTACCGGGAATTCCCTCCCGTATAGACGCTTGGGATGGGACCTGCATGCTAGTTTGAATTATCCGCAAGTTTGAATTATCCACATTTTCTAAGCAATATAATAGTTGTTTTCTTAAATAAGCTAATCTTCCATTATGCCTTTCTGAAATGTTTTTATTTTTTCAAAGCTATGATGCCTGTTGAGGTCTACTTTACCCAACACTGCATGTGACTGATAAAAAACAGATTAAATGAAAGATCAGTCAGTAAAGCACCATTTAAGAAGCTGTTTCAATTAGTTACAGAACATAAATTAAAGTACACAAGCGGTGGCGGGTCGGCAGGCCACAATTGAAAGTCAAAGATAGCGTCACACAGCTGCACAGACTTGGTGCAAAATCTTTTTACGCGGAGGAATGCAACCACGTGAATGAAAACGGAAGTACACAAGAGGAGGTGGGTCGGCAAGCCACAGCAAAGTTCGAGATTGTGCGGTGACGCCGCACACAGCCACTCTGAATTCGCTCCATCTCTTTCCGTGTGCAATATTTGTGTTGATAGAGGGCACAACAAGCTAGCAATAAATTAAGAATAAATTGTTGTTGTTTTTTAGGCGGAGGGAGCAAGTCTCACTTTTACCAGTTAAAACGGGCAGAAATAACTAACAAAAGGAATACTGGCAAACTGATGAACCGGAAAATCAAGGGGGAAAATAACATGAGCCAGATATCGCCGATAGCTGAGGTCAGCCATAAATCCATGTCCGAATCCATAGGACCTCTGCTAGTGAGTGTGGTCCGTCGCGTTTGTGCTCACAATGATGCACGTGGCACTGCAAATTGTAGTCCTTCACGAAATCTGTCGCAGCATTTGCGCTACGACCACTTCGCCAACTCCACAATCCAGACATCATGATAAGCAAAGGACAGATTGCGCTGCCGCGTGCAAGTAACTTTCCAGTGCTTCATATAAAAAAAAAAAAAAGGAACTTAGGTTGGCTTTTTGGATTCGCCAAGCTCAAAACCATACCGTGGAGTCCAAAAACAAAACAGGAAACTCGATTGCAAGTTGACACTAATCAACGAGTTCTGCGTTATTCGTAGTTTTCGAAGTATTCGGAGAACTCGAATATTTCGAACAGCAAAAGTGCGAAGTGAATGGAATCGAATAGCAAGTATTATTCGCGAAGTATTCGAATATTCGCACACCCCTACCTAATAGGTTAATTGAGACATCTGCAAGATAACCGCCGTATGACTGTTCAATAAATAAATATCTGTAGCGGCCTGGTCCCGTCGGTACGACACTTTAAATAGTCTCCCGACACTCCATAAACTGCAGTTTTTTTCCACAGGCTAACTTCAAAAAGACCGTATAACATATTCCAATATGAAAGCTCAAAATTGTCCACTCTGAAAGTGGGAATCTCTGATCCAAAACCCGTTTTTCCTTGCTACAGGAGCTGCTCTAAATCACCACGTGCCAGTTCCACTAGTGAGAACAAGTGGACAAGGTTAAAGGAAAAGATGTATAATAATTACATGCCAATATCCCAACTGAAACATAAAATAAAGTGACAAAAATGTGGCAACTTGAGCACTATATACTAACGCAGTAAGATGAAGTGGCACACGCTACAAAAACAACACCAAGAAATGGCCCCACTCAGCGTGAATTTTCTCGTCCGTTATGGAGCTGGCACGAGTTCATGATTCATCCCATAAAATGGGTGAAAAATTTTTCTCACCCTTTACTGTTAACCGGTCCTATGTAGCCTTGACGACGACGGCACATCATGTAGCAGATGATGACTAGTATTAGAAGGATCACTGTAAACCCAGAGGTTATGGCAATGTACAGGGTATTGTTTGTGAAGCTTCCACCTGGAACAGAATGGAACACAAAATTTGTAACAACACTGATTTAGAAAGAATAGCCCTTCTAGAGAGGTCTTACCATTCCTTCAGTTACATCTATACTCGTTTTCACCTCAAGAACCGTAGTAAAAAAAGTATGGTTTCTCGCAGGGTATTACTAATTTCCCTCTTCATGGTGAGAATTAAGACATATGTAGGTGCATTTTAGATCAGATATATGTTATCTTATCAAGACGTACACGTTTCAAACGCCAAAAGCATCGCTTCTGCTTCCGGCAAACAAATATTGTAGGAATTACTTCGTGCGGCGTAGGAACACGGAGCAAAACTTCCTTTTTTCTTGTGGTGAAAACGGGTATAGATGAGGTACTTAAAAACAGGTGCTTCTAAAAGTTGCAATGTACGACAGTGAAATGTAACAATCTCTATTTAGGACAAACAATTGCTGCAGCCAACACTTTGGGAACTAGTGTCATCAAATTCTCTAAAGTGTTTAAACTGTATAAGAGGTTGCTTAAAATAAAAATAATTGCACCTGCAATTGTTCTTAAGCAGATTGTTTTAACTGAATTCTAAAGAAAGGAGGACAATATCTTTGTGTGTTAAAGTTGTCATAGCAGTTGCGGTGGCATCTCATTCCAAGTCCCAAATTTTATGCAAACATTTTCACTTCATAATTGTAGAAGATGTAATACTGTGACCAAATTATCACTGAGTCACTATATGTGCAGACTGCAAAACAGCACACTATAATATTTTATGTGAATTGTATTGAGAAAGCATATTGCATTTCACTGTGGTATATGGAACCAGTAAGTATAAACTCCTGAGTCACTAAACCAAACTTGATTTGTGATTACAAAGTAGAGCACCAGTGAATAAGAATAAATTATGTGAGCACTTATAAATAACAGTCGCTATTGGTTTTTCTGCTCCATACAATTATTTCTAAAACCCAGAACAGACTGTTCCTCAGTACTCCAACAACAACAGCTCTTTATCTACTAAAATGGAAAATCAGAACACAAAAAAAAAATGGTATGAATAATAATAGCAGACACATGATTAATCTTGAGAAAGGTAATCCAAAATGGCAATGAAACTGAAGCTAAAATGGTAATTTAATTTTTAACTGCTTTCTGAAAAAGTGGGAAGACGACTATTACAGAAATATAGCAATCGGAGAAGCAGCTACATAGATAACAAGAACATGACACCTGTGCACTTTTGCATTTTATTCAAAGAGATTATTATCAAATGCCAATGTTCTCTTAGGCAACCACCTGTGCGTTGTTGTTTTGCACTCCGCACATTAGTAAATTAGTGATCATATGGTCGCAGTATTACATCTTCTACAATTATTTCTTTTTATTATCCACATATATTTAGCACACAATGTCTATTCTGTTTTAGGCAACCCAAACTATCTCACCATTGCTCGATCCTCCAGAGGCAAGTTCTAAACCTATATTTCAGCAACAAAGCAACAAAACATAAATCAGGATCAAAATTAAAACGAATATTCAAACATACATGCACACACTATAATATTTGCAGCATGCAAGAACAAACCTTAAAAACTCAATAGAATTCTTAATCCTCGTGCTTTTATCAAAAGATAAATATTTCACTCATCAGCACTTACTAAAAGAATAAACAAACATTGGGGATGCAATAGTCTTGTAACATCAGAGTTTACCAGTATAAAACGTGCGATGGGAATCATATAATGCATATATTAATTTGAAGGCCTTCAGATATTTCTAATTGTCTATCAATTCAGGATACAGGCTACTCAAAAACAATATAGCATACCTAGGAAAATGTTGCTCCATATTTTGTATTAATGCAATTAGGCTGTATTTCTTTAGAGATACATAATACCTAGCAATGCTATGTTATGTTCTGTCAATTTCCATGCATCTATCAGTGCCTGTCCATTTTATCCTTTCCATCAGGAGAAGCTATGTCCCATTAACCGCTCGCAACTTACTTTTAATGACATGTCCACTAATTATGGGGATACTTTTGTTAATTACAAGCATTTTAAGCATGAAGTTTAGTCACCCTTGTACACACAGCTACCATATCGTTTTTAAACCTTTTCTTTAAGATTGTATGCATGGATGTAAGCATGTTTCTATGAACGTATAACTGTGAGCATGCTATATTTTGTACTTGAGTGTCTCATACAAAGACTTTGGTCATTTTGAGGCATGAGGAAGCAAATAAATACATAAAGAAAGAAATAAGATAGCTTCACAGTTTTTTAATAATAATAATAATGTAAACAGTTTTTCTCTTAACAAAAATTAAGGTCACTATAGATTACCATTAACATTATCACCCTAGGTAAGCTTTACAGGCACTTGTGGCACAGGCCACATGCCTTCATCTGGTGCCTGCACTCACAGGTGACCTAGTAATACCAACCTAACAACCAAGCTCTCTACAATATAACTTCACAAACATAAACAAATCACCACAAATTAAATTTTAACATGCCAATGATGCAAAATAAGGCCATACAATCAACACATAAAGTCTAAAATAGTCATACTAAAAATATGTAAAAATGAAAAAAAAAAAACATTGCACACATAGTATAGGTTTGTGCTCATTGGTAATACAGTGAGATGAGAAAACAGCAAAAGGAACACATGTTAGACTAGACAAGAGAGGCGATATACATGCAATTAAGCTTCAAGCTTACGGGGAAATAAAATGAATCATGTGCCCACACGCCCTCAAGCCCCATCTCCCTTCCCTGTAAATTAGAAGTTTTCCCAATGCTCCTACATTCAACTTTGAGCAAATTCCTATTCCTAAAGCTGCTGCGAATATCTTCCAATCAGAAGCGAGGACGTCCCAGGTATTTTAAGGTAGCGAGTCATATTGCCAGCTCTTGTCCCCTTACAAGGTACTTCCTCACGCCGTTTCCTCATCCTAAATAAAGGTTCGTTCACACACTTTCCGAGCGCATTACAACCTCTTGTGGTCTCTTATGACGAAAAAACACACTAGCGCCACCTATCGGGCAGTCGTGGAACGCTTGCGATTTCCATATATATAAGGGGTGGCCAAGCTGCGGATCTTTGCATGTTAAAGTGCAGCTCGCGGCTCCCTCCCCTCCCCTACCCTACCCTACCCCTACCCCTACACCCTCCCCTCCCCTACCCTACCCCTACCCCTACACCCCCCCCCCCCCCACACACACACATGCACACACACACACACGCACACACACACACACACACACACACACACACACACACACACACACACACACGCACACACTCCCCCACCTCCGTCCCCATCACACGAGCACTTCCCCAAAAATATAAATGGAAGGCGTTTTAAATTGAAAGACAGATTGCAGTTTGGTAGTCTTGTGCTACTGCTATGGCTTACATACAGTTGGACTGCTTTTGACTTAAATAGATTGAAAGTATAGTTTGAGTTTCGTGTATTGCTCTGAACAAAAGTTTCCCCCCCCCCCCCCCCGGTGGCTCTTCAAAGTTTCGTGGTTTTGTTAGCGGCTCTTAGGCCAGGTCAGCTTGGCCACCCCTGATATATGGTATTATTTTCTTTTCTTTCCACATCATTCTTTCACTATTGTTTAAAAATACTTTTGCCAACATTATAGACAACAATTCCTCGTAGATAGCATGCATGTCTCATCTCACAAATACCAGGAAACCTTCGCTTCAGGGAAATGCAGTTCCAGGGCCAGCTCATAGATGGCACCGGCATAGTTCTCTCATTGTAAGAAATTGCAAAAGGTCGTAAAGAACTCGGTCGTAAGCAGTCGTAATTGCGTGAAGCAGCCTTTAGTCTCTAGAGCTTTTCCAGGCAAAGCGCCGCAACGGATAGGAAACGATTAAGTCAAGCGACCCAACCGTAGACCTACTTTTCCCCGTGAGATACATGACCTCCTGGGAGAGGGGTCCATAGCCCATCTTGTTCCTGGCCTGGATCTTGAAGTAGTAGGTGGTGTCCGGGGTGAGGCCTTTGATGACTGTGGTCATCCTGTCCCCCACTACGCCCTCTACCGCCCAGTCCCGGTCCTGCTGGCTGTTGTCCGTCGTGTAGTAAATCATGTAGCCTGCGAACCGAGAGGTAATGAGTAACTGGGACCCTATTTGCAGAGATGTTTGTGCAGACTGAAACTGAAATCAACTGCAGAGGGGCAATTTGACCAGTGGAGTATTACTGAAAATTTAGATTCCTCCTAATTAACTGCAAAGCCAGCGAGGGATATACAGTAGACTCGCGATAATTCAAATTCAGATATTTCGTACCTCTAAATAATTTTAACAAATTTTAAATCTTCTGTTGTCCTGCTACGTTTTTAATGTATTTGTAAGCCGCTTTATTTCAAACGGCGTTTTTGTGTAATTCATGCTTTTTGTTCTCGCGACCCCATTGGGTGTGTTTCTTACCGAGCACTGGTGCACTGCAGAGATGCGACACCCAAGGAGCTTGCTTCCGCGGATGCTGTTTCTCCGCAGTGCAACAATGCTCGGTGAGAAGCGCCCTCAACGGGGCCGAAGTTAGGCACCATGAGCTATGAAAACGGGCACCACGCGAAAATTTCCACAGCAACTTGCGCAGACGCTGTGACATGGCAGCATGGCATAGGTCTATGCCACAGCGTCCGTACAAGTTGCTATAAAAACAGCCACGCGGTGTCCCTTTTCATTACTCCTGTGCCCCCAGTTCATATATTAGACAACTTATTGGTCTGATGAACAAACTTTATTTTGTCTTGAGTTGTCATGCGCTGTCTAAACAGTCCACGGTAAACAACATTTTTGAGGGATAGATAAACTTACGTCATACATTTCACAAATGTCCCTTGTGTGGTAACAAGCTTATGATCAGTAGGCTTATGCAGAAGAAATCATCAAACATCTGCTTTGTACGCATGTGTAGCCATTCATAGAGCAAATCATAATTTTATCTTGCATCATATTTAGATGAATTTCTGATAATTCAAACTTCCGATAATTCAAACAAAATTCGTGGCTTCCTGGAGTTTGAATTAATGAGAGCGTACCTTAACACTTCGAGAAAGCATAATATTGAGAAATTGCAGCTCTCTTTGCAGCTAGCCTATGGTCTGCAGAATTAACCTTGTTTTTCTAGGAAACAAAAGTTCATCCCTCTTTCTGAATGAATTTACAAGCTACTACCATAAAATCCTGAGCAATTGTCCACTAATATTTAGAGATAATCATGTAAAACTGGGGGATGGTCAACAATACAGCACAGCCCACTTATAACAAATACAGAAATAGCGAAATAACAGATATAACGAGCGGATTGCAATTTTTCGTCACCTTTAGTGTACCTGCAACGCGATATGAGCCCGCCTTTAACAAAAAAAACTTTGGGAGGCCCGCCACGAATACAGAGAAAAAGAAGCTACAAAAAGGGACTCAGATTAAATGCAGAAAAAGCTATTTACGATATATTTCTAAAAACTACGGACAAAAACAAGTAGCCGCATACCGATAATGCAACTAAAGTGCCCGAAACATTTCATTCGATCGAGAGAAAATTGCGCTACTCGGCAAATTTGCCTTGTCCACAGTATGCATGACGCGCACTGCTGCGCACGCCATGCAGGGCATTTCGAGTTTTCGAGTTCTCCGAGTTTCCGTTCCACGTTTTCCTGTCTTTCGGGCTCGGGCCCACCATCTTGACTACAATGTAGGCAAGATGGTGGGTTGGAACGCTTTCAATCTTGTCGATCTTGCTACATTACTTAGTCCCCTAGTCTTGCGATGTGGGCACGTCTCGGCACATCCGCGACCACATTCCTCTTCTGCTCCTCGCTGTCCACAGACTCCTGTCAAATCGCTCACTGCATCTTCCGAACTTGACGTCACCTCGCGTGTTTCTCTCTCTGGCTACAAACCTACGCGAAAGTTTCTCTCGGCAAGACACGGACCTCCCACCACGCACAAGGAGTATGGAACTCTCCCCGACTGAATCTATCGCTGCCGACCTTGACTGTCCCTGGATTTTGTGAATGATGTCGTATTTCAAACTACCAGGACGCGGAGGCAGCTACCGAAAGCGATGAGGATGACGAAGACTACGTGAAAGAGCCAGTGTCCGCCGGAATGACCCTCTCCCCGGTGGATACCCTCCGAGAGTACTTTGCTAGTGCCAAGTGGGTCCGGACTCGGACAAAGCCTTTTCCTGCACTTTGACGAAATTCAGCAGGTAATCGTGAAGGCTGAAGGCATCTCTCAAACGCTGCGTACAGTCAAGGGTCGACGGCTACTTTGGAGTGCATTAAGGTCTCATGCTACAGCAGCTGATCGATTTTCTTTTTTTTCTTTTTTTAAGTCCACGTCCACATATAGCAAACTGATTTTAGACTCCCGTGGCGTTCGTTATAGGTGGGCTGTACTGTATGCAAAGATACATCCTTTGTGTACTTTCCGAATGTTACAAATTGAGAGGTGGGTGCTTATTGTGGAATGGGCGGACGATCGGTAGTTTGTGGCAGTACAATGTTGATAGTGCAGAAACAGGTAAGACGATCTGGTGTTTGTAAAAGATGCATACTGAGATTGAATAGTCTACTGCCCAGTACATTTAACTGTGCTCTAATTTTACCTTTCTTGTCAGAAAATATAGTGGGTAGTATAAAAAGACTATGATATAACGCCAACAATGCTAATGATGGCCCATGGTCATCTAGAAGAGCACTGTATATAACTATTCCATGAAACTAACATTTTTGATGGGAGGAAACCCGTAGCTGCATGCTCCCCCTTCAAAACATAGCGCAAATAAATGTGAAAACTGCAAATGTCAAAGCCGCCGTCAGGCCACAAAGAACTAAAAAAAAGTTGGGGCTCCAATTCCACGCTGTGAAAGTGGTTGGTCAGCGAAGATGTCGTATCACCTGCAGCAATTGCCTACTGCACTATACCAAATGCCGTCGCTGGTCGCAGCACGCCCCCACTGGTCGTATTGCCGTTTCTTTTCCCTTTGCCGCTCCTAGTATTCACGCCGCTCCTAAGGAGTCCTAACTATGCATGGACTGTTCATTGCGGTGCTGCAGCAACAATGAAATCAGTTGCTATACTCCGTTTCATCTTACGTTTAAGCGCAGCGGATGTTACGAGCCATCGGAGCCAATCAGAGGCCGTGTGAGTGTCACAAGACCATAGAGCGACACGCGGAAAGCGTATCACGGGCCACGTCCACAGAACAGGATTGGCTAAGACAGCTCGTAGCATCCACTGCGTCTGAACGTAAGGTGAAACGACGTATAGGCGGGTTCTTCTTTTATATATGAAAGGCTAGTGACATCACACCCCATGTCGCAAGCTGCCGTTGCAGCGGCAGCTTGGGCAACAGTAATCTTCACCAAAACATGCGGTGAGTGCTACATGCTTCGCATTGCTTTCAGGAGCTCCTTATCATTCACTATACTGTTAGGATGCTTGTTTTGTGCTTTTTATTTATTGAAACGAATGTTGTGCTGTATGTTGTATGTGTGGTGTTTGTACTTTTCGCTTCAATCTTCTGAAGTCTTTTTTTTCCATGAGAACGCCGACACGAAGCGGGGAGAAGGAACGTGCTTCAGATTGTTCGCAGCTGCCGTTATCATCCATTATGCGGTTTGCACTTCACACGAGGGCTTCGAATGACGTCAACCCCTTTCAAAACAGCTGCAAGCCTAATCTTTACCAGAACGCGTGCAAGGGTGTTCCTATTATTCAGACGCGCCTTATCATCCATCAAGTGATTTTGATGCTTGTTTTGCGGTTTTCTTCATTGAAACGGAAACTGAGCTGTATGCTGCATGCCTGATTTCAAAGGAGATAAGCTCTTTTGCCTTCAATTGTTTGCCGGGAGCTTTTGCTTACAACGCCAACGACACGGAAATTTCCTTGGCTGGTAGAGGTATACAGCTTCACTGTAAAAGGATGTGCTGCACAACTTACCAGTGATCATTCCATTCTGCTGCTTGGGAGGTTGCCAGTGAAGGTTGATCATCATTGGAGAGTCATCGCTGGGCACAATTGTCAGATCCCTTGGAGGAGAAGAGGGTGCTGCAACCAACGACCAAGTGTGGTCAGCATTGCAAGCCGGAAACATCATGTCAGGTTGTTTCAACTTAAAACGAATTAAGCTCCAATTCAAGTGAATATTCACTTGGTAGTCCTCCAAGTTTTCTACAACACCAGCCAAAACAAAAACAAAAAAATTGTAGAGCCCTTCCACTTCCCATGAAGATGGAGGACCAGCAAAGCTGTTACTTTTACGACGTCTAGGACAATGCCTAGAGGACGACATCTAGGATTACGCCTAGAGGACGACGTCTAGGAAGACGTCTAGGACGACCTCGAGGACGGCGCCTAGAGGACGACGCCTAGGATGACCTCTCGGACGACCTCAAGGATGACTTCTAGGGCGACCTCAAGGACGACTTCTAGGGCGACCTTGAGGACGATGCCTAAGACGACCTAAAACGCGACTTCAAAGACGACCTTCAGGGCAACGCCTAGGACGATTTCGAGGACGACGCCTAGAGGACGACGCCTAGGATGACCTCTCGGACGACCTCAAGGACGACTTTTAAGACGACCTCGAGGACGGCACCTAGAGGACGACGCCTAGGATGACCTCTCGGATGACTTCAAAAACAACAACTAGGGCGACCTTGAGGACGATGCCTGGAGGGTGACGCCTAGCACGACCTTGAGGACGATGCATAGATATGGTAAGGGATCAGGATCGACTTACTGTCTAATAATGCCAAGGAAGGCTGACTCACGCAGGTTGCCCCCTTTTTATTTTTATTTATTCATACTTGTCACGACCAATGGGGAGTTTTCTGTCAATATCTGCGGACACATTTTTTAGGGGCGAAGTTCCTTAGGTGCTAGCCATGTCCGTATGTCCGTCCTCCGTCAGGTGCACGTGCTCCTGCTCATAAGCTCACGTGCTCACGAGCACGTGAGCACGTGCTCCCGTGCTCGTGTAGGGAAAAAAAAAAAAAAAAAGCATCTCCACGTGGTGAATGATGTTGATTGGGGCTAAGCTCTGGTAGTGCTTGTCTGCGTAGACGGTGAGCCGCAGCATGCCGAGCCTTTCATTCGTTTTCATCCATGTCAGAAAGAGAATGTGTGGTACGGAACGTGGTTATATACGCATTTGAGCATTTGACCGCAGCGTGACATGGATGAAAACAAACGAAAGGCTCAGCATGCTGCGGCTCAGCGTCTGCGCAGACAAGCACCGACCAGAGCTTCGCCCCAATCAACATCAGTCACCACGTGGAGATGCGGTTGTTTTTTTTCCCAGATCCTAGCACATAACAGCTTCGCGGTAAAAAACTGATGGTTAAACTAGGAATATTGGGACAACTTTTGAAAGCACAATAATCAAGGTGACATAGAGACATATCCAAAGCGGTAGAAATTTGACATGTACAACTGCTGTCACATTAACTGCTTGGAGAGAGGCTAGATCCATTGACGTGAATTCATGCAGTCAAACTCATTTTCTGGAAGTTCAAGCAACAGTAGTGACAGATGTGGTATTCTCACAACTCTAACTGCTAGTGTATTGTGACTTTAAACTTTTTTTGTCAACAGCAATCCACTAGATCAGGGGTTCTCAAACTTTTCAACCTCGAAGGACACCCATTTCTCTCAAATGATAGCCGAGGAAACCCTCCCAGCGTCAGCACTGATCCAGTAAAACGGTGCAAAAGCCAACAGACCTTGTAAACAATAATGTACATAGTAGGAGGTGTCTGGCACTTCGCTATGCAGCACTCGATGGCTGAGATCCTCTAAAATGATGCTTAAACTGGAAGAGCATTTCAGTCAGGTGCAGAGACAGCAAAAGAAATTTGGGAGCTGAGGGACCCCTGAGGGTGCTTTGAGAAATCCGGGCATTCCTCAGAGCACCCTCGAGGAATTCACCGAGCTCCTAAATTTCCTCCACCATCCCTGCCCCTAAGTAAAGTGTTCTTCTAGTTTAAGCACTACCGTATTTATTTGAATATAAGGCGAGGTTTTTTTCCAAAATCCGTAGTCCCGAAGTCATACCCCGCCTTATATTCGAAGCTCAGTATAGCAATATGACGATTTTTTTTTCTTTTTCTTGGGTCCTCCAACTGCCCCCTCGCCTTATAATCGTGACCGCCTTATATTCGAATAAATACGGTATTTTAGAAGATCTGAGCCCTTCATTTATGCATAACTACTGCGTGGCAGATGCTCCCTATTACTATGTGCATTATTGTTTACAAGGTCTGTAGGCTTCTGTACTGCTCCACGGCACCAAAGCGGAGACTGGGAGAAGTTCCTAGGCTATCGGTAAAAGAACATGCATTGCTTAATTGAGACAGAAAGGGAGTACATTTCAATCTTTTTCCTCCTGCATTTTTTTTTAGCTGTAGTCTGTTTGCAGTGTGGTGTAAGAAAGAGAACAGGTGACCGACCGCTCTCCTGGGTGGTGTTGAGCACGTCCATGCTGTAGGTGCTCTCCCTGCGGCCCTTGACCACCTTGACGGCAAACTCGTACTGGGTGTTGGGCCGCAGGTCGTCGATCATGCAGTTCAGGTTGGTCGAGTTGAAGTACTTGTACTTCGGCGAGCCCTGGCTCTTGTAGCGCACTGTGTACAACCGGCTGTCTGTGATCACCTGGCTGCTCGACAGCGTGCTGTCGCTCCAGAACAGCACCACCGTCGTTGGCGACAGCACGATGGCCTTCAGCCCCACAGGGGGCAGCATGGGCAGCAACGGCTCAGGAGCTATGGGGAGAGGGACAGAAACGACCCCAGTTTCGTTGTTCACAATTGATTAGATTCCCCTGACTATTCCTATTTTCTACCATAAACAACACTAAGAAAAATTTCTTTTTGAACATGAAGCTGTTGGCAACGTGCGCGTACAAACAGCGTAGCTGCGGTCGACCTTCCACGATTGGTCAGACGCTCGCTGTGACATCTTTAGTAGAAATAATTCTGACTTTAATCGTCAGAAATAAGAGTGGTGTGGTTTTATACACACCATTAGTGGTGTAAAAAAAGGGAAGCCCCCCCCCCTTCCTTTACATGCAGCCGACCCTATACAGTGTAGACCGCATACAACGTATGTCGCGGGAGTCGCGAAAATCAGCACTATAAGCGGTACCGCGCTATAACCAAAACATCAATTTTTCAGGCCAAAATACATGCCATGAGACAACTTACCTTTGTAAATCAATTTTTTTTTTATGTTAGATGAAAAATAAAGCTTAGTTTGAGGAAAGTCTTTATTTCACCAGACTAGTACTGCTAGTACACTTCTCTCTCAAGTGTGTCACACATTTTGAAAGAAATGAGCGACTTTTGCCTGGCGCAGCCTTCTAGCGGCGCCGCGGGTTGCGGACGGACGTTGCGAGCGTTCAGGATTGCTACCCCCAATGACTTTTCTCCGGTGATGAAAACGCGTGAAAATTCGCATCCTTTCTATGGTACGCGCCAGTAATACCTTCAACTTGAGCACAGGCATGAAATGCTCCAAATAAAAAATCCGGGCGATGTTCGAAAACACAAATGCTTAGAAAGCACCACTGTGGTCAAAGTAAACAAAACACGACGACACGGGCGTTTCTGCAGTCTTGAGAGTGCCGCCACGACATCGCCGCACGAGTATGTGGATCTTCCCTTCTGGTACATATGTGCTGGGTTATCATAGCAACACACAACGAAAATTCACATTCAAGGATAGCGCTGTTACGCGGAACGAAGAGATCCAATGAGATCCACCACGCCGTCTACGTCGACGATCACAACCAATGTCATGTTTCCGGATAGAAGAAGCAAGAAGCTGCCCCGCGACCAGCATGCAACGCGCGCGAACACTTCTCCTCGACCTGCGATTGGTCTGCCGTTGCGGTTGTTTCCTACGCCGCGGAGGGACGCACGCACGTGAACGACACATGCGTGCGTCCCTCTGTCGCTATGGCAACTGAAGCTTCTTTCTTCCTCTTCTCCCCGCTCCTTCAAGCAACCTACTTGCCCCGCGAGTGCCGCTTGCGGCTCGCGCCGTTATCTTGGTCATCTAGTGCCGCACAGGGAAGCTTGCTCGCTGCGTCGGTCGGCGCAGTCGGCTCGGCGGGCTGTTTTAGAAACCGCACTATAACCGGTATTTCCCTTCGCGCGCCTGCATTTTAAGCGGTATGTAATTACATGAAGTTCTATGGGAGGTGAACCGGTGGTTTAAAAAAGCCGCGTTATACCCGGTCCTGCACTATAAGCGGTTACATTGTAAGTGGTCTATACTGTACCGTACACATGCATAACATCGCCAACTCCCACTCCCCAAGTCATAGAAATCTCAGCCATCCTGGCTGAGATTCCTCTGATAATCCCAATTGAGTCGTGGCGATATCTTCAGCAACCTCCGCACTAATAATACGGTGTCACTGTATATTCTAGAATGTACAGCCCCCTGAAACTTAGAGGGCAATAGCACTAGCTAAATTTCATGTAGGAACTTCAGACAACGAACGAACTTGCATTAGATCACAGTCACAACTGGGGAGGATGCACGTTTCTGAGTGAGTGCCGAAGAGAAAAATATTGGCTTCCTAATTTGAGTAAAGCAAACTGAGCTATTTTTCTCCAAACATCTGCACAAATTTCAAAATTAAGGGTAATTTTCCACACTTGGGTTGCAGCTCCCACTTATGGGTAAGCGAACTGTCTTCGCACTCACTTGATTCAATCGTTGTCTTGACAGTTTCATAGATTGGCTGGCCATCACCAATTTGATTGAATGCCCGCACGCTGATGACATACTCATTTGAAGGCTCTGAAATTGAGAGGAAGCAAGGTAAGCGTGACAAACGAGACATTCTCAGCTGGTGCACAACAATGCCGAAGAGAAATTTTACATAATGTCTGCCTCTGCGACACTCGCATCCGAACAAAGACATCCGAGTTTGCAGAGTACAGCAGAGTTATGATTATGTCCTCCAAGATAAATACCAGAGTAACAGGTCATATATTTTCCTATGTTATTTCTCGTTGAAAGTCAATAATGTTAGAAATTTGACAAAGAACATGCAGGTGAGCTGGTGAACTTTCAACATATTGAAAACCCGAGACCAAGGAACAAAAAAGAGATGACACATACACAGGCCTGTGTTTGTGTCGTCACATTCTTGTTCCTTGGTTTCAGGCATTCAAGCTGCTCGTTCCAAGATTATATGTTTAAATGAATTCCTTGAGGTTGATGCAAAAATCAATGACTATCAGGTAATGCAGGGGTTCTCAAACTGGGTTCCGGGGAACACAGGGGTTCCATGAGCATAGGTTCCGCGAATACCCAAATTGCGACCCCCCCCCCCCCCCATGCCGCAGGCTGCGCGGCAGGACCATGTAAAGCGCCTTCATCTCACTTTGTACTGACATTGCGATTGATATGGTGGGGATATATGAGAAGCAACACAAGCGAAATTGCCTACAATTGTGCATCTGTTGCTTCTCGGTCGGCAAATATGGAGGGGGGGGGGGGAGGGTTCCGCGGCAGTCTTTGAGGATTCCTGGGGTTCCGTGAGACCAAAAAGTTTGAGAACCCCTGATGTAAAAGAATGTAAAGGGATGCCGACACTTTATTTACGAGCCAGAGCATACATATATCATATAAAAAACTAATTAGCCATATAGTAATATTGTGGTCAAAAGTAAAAAATGGCAGACCTTCTGCAGAGCAATGTCATTTAGATGTGACAATGCATCTGCAACACCTCAAATGACTGGGCAGTCAGGCACCGTTTGAAGGAACTGGCGATGAAACGTTACTCACGCAAGTTTTCGATGGTGTAGTAACGCTGCTTCCCATTGAGGACCTTGGTGTAAACATCGGGCAGCCCAATGCCCCATCCAATCGTGTAGCCCCGAATCATGATGTCCAGATTCCGGGGAGGACCCCAGCTGACAAAGATGCTGGTCGAGGTCGGTTTGGCACGCAGCGAGCTTGGCTGGTCTGGCACTCGAGACTCTGCGGCAGGGAAGGGAACCCTTAGTAGCAATACCGTTTTCTTAGCTCCTCAAGTACAAGGGAAGGCATATTGACACATTTCCAACAGATTGTATGAGGAAGGTTAAATTACCATATTTTTGGGACTACCGTAACATCCTGAGAGATAGCCCACCCATAATTGAAAGCAAATCGGATGAAAATAAGGCGGAAACTAACTTTCGATGTGCAATCAAAACAAGTTGAAAAAATGCTAGTTTTAGATTCTGTGACCTGCGAAACTTGTAACTGCAGGGAGGGGCAATGAATCAAAGACGACTGTCCTTCCCAGTCAGCAATGTTCACTTATCTCCCGTCATGGCCAAGTAACACCATTTTTTCCGAGGTCACCATTGGCCAGGACCCGGCAATTACTGGGAGTAGGCTCCCTTTCGATGATATTAATTGGGGGTGGGTTATCTTTCGGGAGTGGGACACCTTTTGGGATATTATTATACAATTTAAATGTTGAAGTTTCTTGCAGTGTGTTTGTTTTTTGTTTGATTGTTTGATACAAGACACAATGAATTGTTTTTATGACAGTGTATGCTATTGATAATTTATGCTTGATACAAGTTTTCCTGTTAGCTAATAATGCAGGCATTTGTCAAGGTGTGTGTTGTTGTGTCGTATGAGGATATTTTATGTACATATCAGGCACAAGGTGCAGACTATCAAAGGAAAAACTTCCCTTTAATGTAAAACATTCTTTGGATAGTTGTTCAGCATTTTGTGGAACCTGATAAGTAAAGCCTGATAAGCGTGGCCACAAAGCTTGATGCTGGTTGGTAGCAGAGGGGTAGGCAAGGAGTGAGGTATGCAAGGAAGAGCTCGACCAACTGTGCGCACTGAGGAAAGAAGCTCAAGAGTATGGAAGGCTCTGGAAGATCGCCATGTTTATCAGCCCGATTAGCGGTAGTATCGCTTCATTCTATCAAGTGTATATGTGGTACGCGCTAAGCTATCTCTGATGAAGAGCGCCGTGAATGTAGGTGTCTGCAGTCTGGAAATTCAAAGTATCGCTAAAGGTCTGTGATGCTAGAAAGTTTCACGTATGCAACATAATTGCCTAGCAATTTGCCATACATTGTTTTCAGCCAAAATTTCCCCCTGCAGACTATACACCGGGTGTGGACTATAGTTTGGAAACTATGGCATCCTGAGACAGTAGGGCTTTTCAGTCAGTTTTGCAAAGTGTGGCACTCTTAGCATCCTTAAAGTGCATTGCTAGCAGACCATTTATGCTCCATGCAAAGCATAAAGAATTAAATAAAAATTTTGGTACAAAATACAAAATGAACATAACTTTTTCTGCATCTAAGCTACACTACGAATTTCATATTTAAAATGTTGAACAATCTGCTTCGTTATCTCAGAAGCGTGTCGGTGGGAGCAGAGGTGGTACTTTGCTGAGATAACGACGAGCTGCCCGTCACGGCCACATCACTCTTATATGGTTTATTGTGAGCAGTACTTGAGGTGCTGCACTTGTATTCAGTTTCAAAATCAAGCAACAGCTGACTGATGAATTTCTCAAAGCCCGCTGCCTTTTTGCAAGTCTTTTCGATCAGTTTAGTCTCTAATGACGACTCTCTTAGAAAACTAAAATTCCACCATGATCCATAAAACTATGTACTAGTAATTTGAAGGTTATAAAAACATATGATGGTTACTTCTGTGCAAAATGTCCACCGAGCCCGATAAATATACGGTGAAGAAGGTAGCCAAGTAAAGGGCACCTTTTCTTTTTAAAAAGCTTTTATTGATTTAAGATATACACCCTGTACTGCTCTGTACATCCTGTAGTGGTAGGATGCACCAGAACATACAGCAGTAAGAACCAGAAAATCCCACTGTAGATACCTGGTCCAAGAACATGGCTTTTCAATTCTTGGTTGCCACAGAAAAACCGTGCAAAGATGGAAAGGACTGTCTACAGAATGTAGTCAGCAAATCTCAAAGGCCGGGAGGAACGAGCATTATTTGAGCCTCACCATCCAGGTCATTCTGGTAGGTCTCCACAGTCATCCAGTCCGTGGCCGGACCCGTGCCGTTTACCGAGAGGGCCGCAATCTTGACGCTGTACTGCGCCCCTTTTTCAAGACCTGCAGCATGAAAGAAACAGAACATGACACCCACAGCAAGCTTCCACTATGTTTTCTCGTTACCCAGTAGTAGTAAGAGTAATTACATCTATAGGTGGGAAAGAAGTGACTTTTCCCAATTAATAAATGGAAAAAGTATCCCCCACTGCTAGCATCACTTCAATAAAATCTACTCCACCACTGCCACATTTATTCCTGCTCTGGAAAACAATGCTTTTTCCTTATTTGTTTTCACATTTACCTCAGATTAAAAGATGAATGTTTTGTTCTTTCCATAAAATTCATTTTCATAATTCTATTCTAAACAACAAATTATTAATATGCCTTTTATGTCGTCTTTATTGTCATCAGAAGTTTGGCATTCTAAGTTCTATCACAACAACATTTCATTCCTTGTACATTTCTGGGCTGGAAACAATTTCCCAGATGAGCTGAAATCATCACCACAGATGCTGAGTCCTTTCAGACTGTCCTTTAAGGGACACTGACACCCCAAAGGTCATATTTGATCTTGTCAAAAACGAAACAAATTGTAGTCATGGACATGCAGAAAAATACCAGAATGCGAAAAAAAAATTTCCTACATGCGCACACATTTTTTTTTTATTTTTGTTGCTTTTCTCTTTTACTCCTCACCTTCTTGCTTCTTTTTATTTGTGATGTAATCGACTATGAAGTTTAGAGGCTTTGTATGCAACATATCTATAATACAGTAAACTTTTGTTAGTTCGATCGCGGTTAATTCGACTTTTCATTTAATTCAATTGCGTTCAAAAGTCCCAGCAAGCGCCCATACATTTTAATGGGAGGAAAAGTTTAATATTTCGAACTCGGGAAGACTCCACATCGGATAATTCGTCCTGAGCGAATGTGCGCGGGCTCATATTGCGCAGCAGCACGGCAGAAAAACCGCCAACGTAAGGGGAAACACGGACCCTTCGCTGCAAAGCCGAATGTGCGCAAATATGCGCCCGCTCCTCTTTGCCGTTGAGATAGACTGTAGCGAATGGCACGAGCCAGCACAACCAGTCTGGCGTGGAGTAGCGCGGAGAACATAGCACGTGGTCGGGCGCAAAGACAGCGCGCGCTCCCAAAGTGCTTGTCTGTAGCATCGTGTGTGGTCCATCTTGCGCACCAGAAAGCGCAGGTTTTCTTTTCCTTTTTGTTTGCTATTTTTCTCGGTCGCCGACGGACTGACTGCCCAGCGCCAAAATCAACTCGTAAAGCTTTCTTTTTTTTTTTTTTGTGCGCGATTTTTTGGGGACGTGACGTTTAGTTACACTGCTCTCCGGAGCATGTTTTGGACATGTGTTTTTAGCGCAGACAGCAGCAGACCGTCCGTGAGTCCTTTGGACCACAAAAGAAAGTTTAATTTCAACCGTTTTTCTGCCCTTTTTTTAATTCAATCATTCGGATAATTCGACCATATTTCAAGGTCCCGTCGAGGTCAAATCAACGGAAGTTCACTGTATTTAATAACGTCATTCGTTAAACAAGTTTTTTAATGCAATTGCGAACACACTACGGCTTTTATTTTCGAAATACCAAAAATCAAAGTCCGGAGCGATGTCACCTCCTGGCTTTTTATCTTCCATCGGAAAACATAACGGTGCTCGACGCATGTAGCACTGAGGATGGTCAGTGGGTCGGGAAATCAGGCGCTTCGAAAAGGAAATCATTGAACGATTCAAAACAATTAGGTTTGGTGTCTGTGTACCTCAGTTTTGGTTGTGACTCCCCACGGCGGCCTTTCACGCAGAACCAGTGTGATGTGGCCCTTCACGTCGTTCACTAAAGTCCACTGTGCAATCTCTTCAACCTCACACCATTTAAAAAAATTTGAGATCGCCGAAAGACCCTTGAAAGAACTTCAAACTCGAGAGTGAAGTGTAGTCTGCTCACAACGATAGGCAACACGCACCTGGCGGTTGATCGTGGGACACAGCAGACACGACACGGAGGCGAGAAAGAAATTCGAGTTGCAGGATGACTCGGACGACTCAACCTTTGACGTCACTGCACTAGCGCGGATAGTGCAGGAACTTCAAATTCGGCTTTTGGAAATTGTTTTTTTACTTCACAAATACCGAGTTCCCAAGATTCGAATTTTGAGAGGAATGTCCACGCATCATTTCCAATCGTTTCGTATAATTAAAAAAAAAATGATTATAACCTGTCAGGGCCTCTTTAATAGTGAATTCCTGGTAGAACTAATGAAACCTAACACCTACTTCATATTTTTTGTGTTGTTAGCTTCATTATTACGAATATTACATATATTCATGTTGTTTCCTCTGGTGCTGTGGGGAGGCAGAGGCTTATCAAGGAACATCCAATTTTTTTTTCTTCTTTCTATGCTTCCCTTTTTTAAATGAAGAAAAATTTTTAATATATTCTTGCTTCTGGATACATGTTTTCTTATGTTTATAACTTTGACTCATCATGTTGCCCCTCTGCAATGAATACGAATCCTTGAGGAAATAATACATAAAATATAAATGTGATGCACAAGAATGAGACATGAACAATGACAGAGCATGCAACAACATTAAGCAATACCTGTAGTATGCTTACCAGACAGAGCAAAAAGCCTTCTGTTTCCGTCAGTTGTGAAGGTGTCCCCTCTCCGACTTCCTTTCAATTTGTACCTAATCTTGTACCCAGTAATTATTCCATTCTGCGATTCCTTGGGAGGTGGCTCCCACCTAATTATTATGCTCTGAAAATAAAATTTAGAGCTATGAGAACTTTGTATACAAAAAAAAAAAAACAGACAGATATGACAAGATGTCAAAAGGTATGATGGCCCAGGTATTAAGGGTCTCTCTATATGTTAGCCATCTCTAAATTGTACAGTCATGAAAGAATGGCCACACCAAGTGAAGAGGAGATAAAGTGGAGAGGAAACAAAGTGGGAAATCTTTTGGAGGGCAGTAGAAAAAATGATAAAACTCGGTCATCAATGTACAGGCACTTGCTACAAAATCATGCGATGCATTGTAGATCATGGAGAAGGGAGACTTGCGCTTCGTGATGCTGTTCCTCATTTTATCAACTGAAGCCCAAAAAAATTAAAAGAGGCCATTTAAGACTGCTTACGTAAGGAAAGCGGAAGCATTCCGACATGCATCGCATTCCTACAGGCAGCGCGCTACATCTTCCTATTGCACACGGCGCTCCGGCGGTGACATCAAACTCCCCCACTGCGCAGGCACGGCGAACCCAGCCAGCTCCACGCCTTCCATGACGATGCATCTGCGTTGCTGTGCTTTTCTTTGCATTTTATTTCTGAGGCGCATCCGCTTTGACCTTGAGCACCCCGCCGACTTCCGTGACAAAGCATCTGCATTGCTGTGCTTTTGGCCAATGGGAATTTAACTGCCGTTTCTCTGCTACAGACGATTAAAGACAATGCCGGCTTCGCTCCATGAAACAGTTAATATTTTTGCATTAATAATTTTCAATGTACCCGAAAAAAAAAAAAAATGCAACTGCTTTGTGAGTAGCTCCGGCAGCATCGGCTTGGTGGTATTGCAACCAACCTTAGCCAGCACACTACTGCCATTGGCTAGCTTATACAAGCTGATGCCCAATTGAATAGTGAATGCAATTACGTGTGTCTGCTCATCGAAATAAGCAAAGCTGTCATTTCTTTATTTCTACTTTTTCAAATTTCTGATTCCCTCATTGAACACAACACAAGTTCTCACTTTTGTTTTAGTACTGTTACGAAGGAATATGAAGGCATGAATCATAAGCTCATCTTGTGCTGTTCTTGGCACATGCTTGACTGCCGTGTGCACCAAGCGGCCGTGCAGCGCACATCTTTTATTTTTACCAAGCCATATTGGCAAAAATGATGCTATCCATTGTACATTCATACCTGTGCAACATTTGTGCTTCGATTGGTGTCATGGCATCGCCCTTCACCTTTCACTAACCTATGCGGTATGGGGTACCTTGTTTTTTAGCTGGTAATAGTATATAGCGCTTAAAATCGAAAGAATAAAACACGGAGGAGCACAGGACAACCAACATTTGTAAAGATTCCCAGTGGGCATTGCAATACTTGATGTAGTGGGCCCCCTTAGGAAATGGCATTTGTTCGGAAGTTTAAGGTAGGCAAATTACTGTCCATCAACATGGAGTTTACACAAACAACAAAAGAGCAAACACTTACTGTAGAACTTGCTGCTTCCAGGGTGACATTTTGTGGAATTTCTGAGGGAGCTGCAAGAACATCACGTTGAAGGTTAGCCCTAAACAGACCATTGCATATGCGCAACAATTGTTGATCACAGCGATGGCATTAACCAGAATCTCCCGCAACATGTCCAACTTGATTGCCGGAAGCATTTGGTTAATAAAAAATTACGGCTTTGAAAATTTCACATATGGACGTTCTACTTGTAGATGTCTGGCAAATACAAATATTAAAGCAGCGTGAAAAAAAAAAGACGCGTATCTGAATCATCTTAGAATGTAGGCACATTCTGTAAATTACTTCATTTTTGCAAAAGTCTATTTTCACAAACTTTCTATATTAACAAAATGTTGAAAAAGCTTGTCACATGAATGCGGCAGACCATGGTAACGAACACATGGCATTCCACCCCAATCACAAAATCTTGTACCTGCTAAATATTTTTGAAAGGTGCTCTTAGCAAAATTTATTAAAATATCAAACCCAAACAAAGTTGTTTACAGCAGTGATAACAACAAAAGTGGGGGGAAAAGTAGTGAGAAATCAATGTGTAATTTGTAAAGGTTTAGTGCATTATTATATTCTGACATGATATATTAGATTATTAGAGTACAAATTTACTAGACCATAGAATCCCAAACTCGGACCTCAGCTCCCAAATTTTCTCGGCAGCCCCTGCCCAAAAATAAAGAGTTCTTCTATGTATTTTTCAGGGGTAATTTTAAAATATGCTATTAGCTTTCATCTAGATGTACTAGATTCTGACTTATCGATAAATCTGTTATTTTAAGTAGGCCTACCTTACAGGTCATTGGCATAAAATTTTTCAGAATATATCAAGAAATTTTACAGGTTTGCATTCACCAAGACATGCTTTGTGCAGTGATACTATTCTTGTTGCTTTTTATGTTATACAATAATTTTAATTAATTAGTCTTCAAAAGTTGTTGCAAATTGGTCACAAATATTTTTAGCAATATAATATTATTTATTTCTTATTTATTTACTAATATTACTGGCTCCGCTCAAGGAGCCTTAGGAGGAGTGGGCACACCATACAACAAAATTTACAGTCATAAATAGAAACAGAAACAGAAAAAGGAAAAACTCAGCTAAGTAAAATTTTCACAGAAGTAATGAAATTTTCAACAGGTGTTAAGATGACAACATTGTTTGGTAGCTCATTCCAATCTTGAATTGCCTGAGGAAAGAAAGAATATCTAAAACAGTCATTCTTAAACCTATATTGTTTTCACGCTCTAGTATGGTTTAGGCGTCCTGTCGATAATGGTTCTAAGTAGCCAGAGCTTTCGATTTGAATAAGGCCGTTAAGAACATTATACAGTACTTTTAATCTATCAAGTTTTGCTCTTATTTGCAATGGCAGAAGCTCCACCCTGAGAAGCAATTCTGTAGATGAGGTTCCTGTACGAAAATTATTAAAAATAAATCGAGCAGCTATTTTCTGAATACTTTCAAGCCTGAGAATACCATTTTGTGTTTAAAGGTGCCACATTGAGCTGTCGTATTCTAACAGAGGTCTAACAAAACTTTTATGGGCAATAAGTTTAGTATCTGAATCAGCAAATTTTAATTTCCTTCTCAACACAAACAAAATCCCCCTCGCTTTATTAACAGTTGCTTTCAAGTGCTGGTTCCAGATGAGTTTACTACTAAAAACAAGTCCTAAATCCTTGACTCATCTGAAAGGTTGTCCTTCAAGTAATTAAATTGGATTGGCTCTTTTTTAGACAAGACTGTCATGACGGCTGTCATATCATAGTTTAGCTTCATTTGCCACATTTTAGACCAATTCAATATTGCCCCCAAAGCTTCCTGTTGTCGTCGTGGTTCCTTAATTTTGTTATTACAATACAATCATCTGCAAATTAACGTTCTAAGTGGGACATTCATGTTCAATTATATGTCGTTAATGAAAACCAAAAGCAAAAGTGGCTCAAGCACGGAGCCCTGGGGGTACTCCTGAAGTAGTCGATAGCTTATCGGAGTCAATTTTATTATAGTGAACATATTGGCTTCTGTCTCTTAAATAAGCAGTTATCCAATTTAAAATTTGCGAGTTTTTGAAAATGTTGGAAAGCTTTGCCAGCAATTTTGAACGAACTACCCTGTCAAACGCCTTAGAAAAGTCTAAGTAAATTATATCAGTCTGTCCCCTTCCATTAATTGTCTCCTGTCCCCTTCCATTAATTGTCTCACCTAAGTCATGTCTAAATTTAATGAGCTGGGTTGTGGTCGACATTGGCTTTCTAAAACCGTGCCGAGTTTTATAAATGAGATTATGTTTTTTTCTAGGTGACATAAAATATGCGTAATAACTTTTCCCTCTAACGATTTACATGTTGCACTAGTTAAAGAAATAGGCCTGAAATTTGATGCTGTATTCAGGTCACCGTCCTTACGTAGAACAATTTTTGCTGTTCTCTAAGCCCAATATAAAAACTTTTCAGCCTTTCCACTCTGGTGAAGAAGGAAGATCAGCAAAGCTGTACTATGCTGGGAATGAAGTAATGGCCGGCCGCAAGTCGGCAAGCCAGAGTGGAAAGGCTGGAAAGGTTGCCACCGTCGCTTATAGATGGTGGCAGCTATCCAGAGTTTTGTGTCATCATTCGTCTGCTGGCGGACACGATACTGGGGAAACTAGCCCTTAACAGTTCTGCTGTAATAAATTACACTTAAAATAGCATCACCGCACAAAGATTGTCATGGTAAATGTAAATCAATAAAAATTTAGGATCTAGTGTGTTGATTTTTACGCTAAAAGTAGGGCAAAAGCGGTGAGGATATATTAGATCAGTGGTTCTCAACCATTGATGTTTCGCAGGCTCCTTGTCAATCAGCAAGATGATGGGGGGAACCCCTTCGTGGTAAGGGGAACTGAAAAGGTTAATTATGATAATGATGTAATAAATAGATATAACTAAATGCTAGTGTGAAGTAGCCTTCTCTCTTTGACATAGCACAAGAAACCCCATAAAAAATTGGAATGTTTTCTCAATCTAAAAAAAAGATAACTTTTAGTTGTGTTTTCTCATGGATTCCTAGAATATCTTTGTGAACCCCAAAGGGTCCGCGAACCTCCATTTGAGAACCACTGTATTAGATTATTAAAGTACAAAACATAACAAAATATATTACAGAGTGCGAAACATTACAAACACAAACAAAAGATAATAAAAGTACAAAACAAAAAGCAGTATTTTAGAAAATGAGTCGTCCACTGATGCATAACCATGAGTCAAACACTATTGTAGGAATTGCTGACAAAGCTTGTAGGCTTCTGCACTTCTACATCAATGCCGAGATCGGGAGGAGCTCCTCGGCAATATTGATCAAGAATGACTGGCATTTTTTCAGAGAGAAATGCTTGAGAACATTGTTCTAAACGATAAGACAACCTTTTAACAAACACGTCCTGCCCACCAACTTCTCCGTACGGCATATGGCCAGCCAACCATAATGAATTGCCAACGGGGGCCAGAAAACAAGCAGGCACAGAACACATTTAGACTCAAAACGTTAGTCAAATAGAAATAAAAAAAATGTTTCCTTTACCATGAAGTTCCGGCACCTTTTCTAACCCTTTATTTTCTCTTACAGCGGCCACTAATTGCTCCAAAAGATTGTTGTACGTACGCAGAGTTTCAGTTCCCTTACAATAAAGGTTCCGGAGGACAGAAGGCTCACCGTCGGAGAAAGTGCGTGCCAGGGTCTCCTCGGAGCTGATGCCAGAGCCATTCTGGTTGACGGCCGTGATCCAGATGTTGTACTCGGTGTACTTCTTGAGGTTCTTGAGGTGGTACCAGGTTTCCGCGGTGGTCACCCTGCGCTCCTCCTCCTCCGTGGTGCCTGCCTCCTGGTAGGAGAGCTGGTAGTGCTGGGCTGTCTCCTTGCTGCGGCCCTCAGGGGCCTCCCAGAACACCCGGATGGCCGTTGGGGATGTCGGCACCGCCTTCAGGTTGTGGGGTGGCCCCGGGATGCTCACTGGGAAACGGGCCAGTCAGGGTCACTCCTGGGCTCTCGTTCCACATTTATTTATTTATTCACAATACCTTGAAGGTCCATTTTTGGACATTACACATCGAAAGGGAGACGTTATATGTCAGACGCACCATAGCTTGCTGTGTAGAGGGTGCAGAAGGATGAAGAACAGTACAGTAGATCAGGGGTTCTCAAACTTTTTGGTCTCACGGAACCCCAGGAAGCCTCAGAAACTGCCGCGGAACACTCCCCCCCCCCCCCCCCCTCCATATTTGCCGACCAAGAAGCAACAGATGCACAATTTTAGGCAATTTTGCTTGTGTTGCTTCCCATATATTCCCACCATATGAATCGCGATGTCAGTATAAAGTGAGATCAAGGCGCTTTGCATGGTCCTGCCGCGTAGCCTGCAGCGTGGGGGGGGGGGGTTGCAAAATGGGTGTTCGCGGAACGCATGAGACCAGCTCGTGGAACCCCTGTGTTCCCCGAAATCCAGTTTGAGAACCCCTGCAGTAGATCATTAGTAGTTTTAGTATTACAGTGTAACCCACTTATAACGATAAGGAGAAGACCCGAAATTTCAATCGTTATAACCGATTATCGTTGTATCTGGACTAGAAACTGATCATTTCCAGTCTAGAAACTCTAGAAACTGATCGTTATAGGCGGTACAATGTTATATGTGGTATCGCTGTAAGTGGTTTGCACTGCAATTACAGATACTGCTTGTAGAAGTGGTACGCGCGTAAGAATCAAGAATAAAAAAATGCCATCGCACAAGTTCGAAAGTCATGGCAGTGCTCCGTAGCACTGTTATGTAGACAAAATATGTTCACTGTGAAAAGAAAAAGAAGAGAGAGAGAGAGAAATGTGGATGACCAAAGGATGAAGTACATATCAGCATTTAGAAAAGCAAAAGAATCTCGGCTAGTTGCGTCATCTCTGAAAGGTTAATAAGTTGACTTGAAAGGATTTCACCTGTCGGAACGACAAATCCAACTCGGTCAGATTGAATGGCAAAAGCATTGTAACTTTCCATTTCTTATACTGTAAGTAGTTCAATTTTCGCAGAGTGACAGTTGGGTAAATTTAACCCAGTCCTGAGGTATTGTGCAAACACAGTGGATATTCGCAGAGTATCATACAGAATTCAGTATGTATTTTACCTTAAACATCCATATACTAAAAATTCATATAGAATATTAAAGGAGCTGTGCAACAATTTTGGCGTTGAAAGAATTGGCATCTTCTATTTTTTAAATTGTTCACCTTGTCACAAAAGACAGAAAACATACCTCCTTCCATCGAAATGTTGCAATTCCACCACGTAACCGCGAGGCAAAAGTTAGAATATTCCCCAACCTGCAGCCGCGAGAAAAACGTGGCATGATGTCAACGGGGGTGTTGTAGAAAGATAGCAAGTTGTGCGAATACCTGCTCGATAAAAGGTAACTTTTCTATAAATCTTGCCGTTCCAACATAAATATAAATGCGTCAAAAACCTGGTATCATCGACAAAACTTTTATTATACGGAGATTTAGTGGCGCCATCTATCCTAGGTCCACAAAACCGTCAGCTCTATCTGCTACCGCGAACAGCCGCCAGAAGCCGGAGGGGGAGGGGGACAGGGCCGGACGGGTATGGCCAGACCCGGATGAGACTTTCCTCCTTTCACCACAGCACCCGCCAGCACGTGGTCACGCGGTCGCGAGCGGATGAATTCTCGCTGCTCACCGATGGCTCTAGAGAGAGACCTTCACCGGAACCCCGCGCCGCCCCCATTGATGTCACAGCGCACTTGACTCGGAAGATGATGAAAAAGTTGAGAAGCGCCGAAAACCTCAATCTTTGCCCATTTTTAAAATAAAAACTAGGACATGCAGGCAAAAGTGTTTTTTTGTTCTTTACTTCAGAAAGGTCGAAACACCAAGTCCCAAATTATTTAAGCAAAGCACTGAAACTGTAGCACAGCTCCTTCAAGAAAGAATATAACCAGGCATGGTTTTTCAAACATGCTATATAGCTGAAGTAGGTAACGATGACACTTCTTTTGTCCCCAACTTTCGGCGCTTCCTTCCAGTCATGAACAACCAACTAGCCCATTTTAACATTCTGATGCTATATAGTTATATTATATGACATTACGAAGCAAGAAGAATTAATTACCCTGCAGTTCTGCTTCTTGGATCATTTATTAATTTATTGTGCAACTAAAGTAACTGCCTTTGCATTGAGGATTGTTAGCATGCACCGTTAAACTAGCAAGAAGGAACGTGCACAGTACCTTCCGGGCTTGTTTCCACTTCCAGTTCTGGGGAACTGTTTCCCGGACCCTGTTCGTTGTAGGCGACAACTCGAAAAAAATACTTGGTGGCTGGCCTCAGTCCCGGGATGATGATCTCTTCCAAGCTTTGCCTCGTCGTGTTGAGCACACGCTCACTGAAAGGAAATGAGGTGTAATATATGAAGACTTCTGAAATCCTTCATGCAACTACTAACTGCAAACAATAAATAGCTAGAAAGCAAAAACAGAACCATAAAAATGTGAAATCAATGTATGTGCTGTCTGGTGCAAGAAACCATTTCTAGTAGACTATTTTCTGTGGAACTATGGTACTAATACTTAATGCGTACAATGAGATATATGCAGATTAGTGTCTCACACCTGAGATATGAAATAAAAATAAATCAATATTTTCCAAGCATGCTTTAGCTATCAAACTCAAAAGAAATATGTCAGTAGCTTTAACAGTAAAGGCTCGTTCACACTCTTGCGACCTCGTAAAACTGGGTTCCTTAAAACCTCTTACAACGCGAGGACACACTGGCGCTATCTATTGGGTAGCAGTGTAAACTTGGCAGTCCGGCATAATTTCTTTTCCTCTCGCGCATTCTCTTTTCTTTCTTGGCTCAAGAAAACTTTTGTCAACATTATAAAAGAGCCTTTCTCATAGGTATTACGCACATTTGATCTCGGAAATACCGCAAAACCTTCGCTCTTGTGAAATGCAGTTCCAGGGTCACCGCACAGATGGCGCCAGCGTGCCAGTGTGTTCTCTCGCCCTAAGAAATTTTAAGAGGTTTTAACAAGTCTCGTCTCTCTCAGTCGTACTCGGTTGCAAGAGTGTGAACGGGCCTTGACTCCATCAGACTGACCTTATCCCACGAGCCAATTCATTAGTAACTGCCACTTCCAGATGAACTAAACACATCCACAAAGCACCTTGCAGGCAACTCTCCATCATCACCTCTCCAATTGCTTCTCTTTCCTCCTCTTTTTACCTATCTTTGATCAACCACCTGTCAGGTAGCTGTTTACAGCCCAACCACTTGTCAAGAATAAAGCGTACTGTCAATGGCTTAATTTTTGTAGAAATATAATTTCTGCAACTCTAGCAAAAAAAAAAAGAATTGTGAGAAATTTATTACACACGAGAATTACCCCATGGTTACAAATACATAGCATGCCACTCGCAATTGCGAAATATTTTGTCTGCAAAATGTTCCCCGAATCCACACTTTGGAAAATTTGTGAAACGTTGTGCAAGCTAAAGTGGTTTGCAGTATTCAATTCATTGCACATTTATGATCGCAATGTACAGAGCTAACCACTGACCATCCTGAAAAAGGAATATGTGTGATGAGAAGATAAAGAGACAACAGGAACCGAACAACATATGCATATCTTTCAACTAGCAGTAGCCTTTAGTACATTTCCAAAAGTGTATCAATGGGAACCAAACTCAGATATTGGAAAGGGGTGGGGAAGAAAACACCAGAGAAAAAGTATATGATTCTCCTTTTACCCTTCTCCCTTTTGACACCTGGGCTAGGGAATGAAAAATGTGCAAATGCTGACTCATTTGCTTCATATATGTATTTTGCAGCAATAGCTGTCAGTGCCCCTTCTCAGCAAAGAATGCTCATCATGTACGAATGCAAAACCCCTACTCTACAGCAAAAGTACTGCTCTCCATCTCCCCGTCATTCCTCACACATGGTAAGCCTCTCTCTCGCTCCCCTCTCCCTTTCCCTCTGTAGGCCACTGCTGTTCTTACTCCTGCACCGCTTTCCCCTTGTAACCTTTTAGCTCCTCCTCCTCACCCCTTGGCAGCCGTTGTTGAGAAATACCCACATGGTCTCGCTGTGCGAACGCACTCCCTTGCCTCCCCACTCCACCCAGGTTTCATCCTCATGCACCCTCCGTGCCTCTACAGGCTCTGTGTCCTTCTTCAACACATGCAACATCTCGCACAATCGTTCCACCAAAGCATACATTTCACGTAGTACATCTCCTACATCAATTCCACTGAAAGCAAAGAACCCATTGCAAACATTGTACAGCACACTGGCTGAAGGCAAATCTCCTTCAACGTGCCTTTCTGCAATGCAGCAACTATCGCTGTCAATCGCAGCACACTTTGTGTGGTTGTTTGCAATTTTTCATAAAACCATTACTGCCACCAACATCCCTTTCAGTACATGATGGAAGCAGTTCATAAAGGAAGGATGCTATGGTGCCTCCAAATGAAAAGAAATTCTCTGCACACTCAATTAGGTATAATTTCATTCAGACACAAATATAAACCGAGAGGAACCAGCATCATTATGTGTGAAACGCGAAGAGAAATGAACCTTCCAGGGCTGCACCGCCACCCTACAGCATGACGACCATCCTCATCGATCAAGGTTCAAGGACCACCACTGACCGGCTGGAGCCTTCCTCCTTGTAGTAGACGGAGTAGGCGAGGATGCTTCCGTCCACTTTCTCGGGCACCGTCCACGAGAGCGTGGCAAAGCGAGTGGACACGAGCCGTGCCATGACCTCCCGAGGGGCGGAGGGGACGTTCTTGCCCCTGTGCAGCTCCCCTGAGTATTCCAGGTAGGGAGTAGTAAAGGAAGCACGGGTGCCAGGGTGGGGAGAGTCTGGGTTAGCATCGCCAGGGATCGGTCAAAGCAGAGGGCGACAGGTAGTTTGCATTTAGTGGCACAGAGATGGGGTTAATTTTTGAGAGAATGCAATTTGGTCAGTCAATGAGAGAAGTGAAAGAGTAGGTGAAGTTCAGAAAAGGTGAAGAATGGGGCGTTGCGCCGCACGCAGGAAGTTTAGTTTTGTTATCGATAGAGAGAGAAGGAGCAGTGACAAAGGGGGAAAAAAAAAAGGAATGCACAATTAATATTTAAGTAACTCTCAAGAAAAGTTACATGCAGTTATAACCACAGACAACTAAAAAACCCAGGGCATGGCTTATTATGCCCTCGCTTCTCGTTTCATAATTCATTCTTTGCCATTCTTATTCGACTAATGCCCCAAGTTCATTGGCTACAAAGCGATAATGAGATGCTCGAAACCCAGCCTGCCCTATGTTTATTAAGCTGCCAGTGGTTAAAGGATCAGCTTATTTTAAATTTGTGTCAGTTTTGGAGCGAAGGTATACCTGGGTCGAGAACCACGAGTTGGGCCGATGTCTGGACATTACCGGCCGGGTTGGAGCCGAAGCACTGGTACATTCCTCGGTCGGAGTCCACGAGACCCAGTATCCTCAAGCTGTTGCCGTTGACGATTTGGAAGTATTCACTCTGGATGATGGCTTCCCCGTTACGGAACCACTGCACCGAGGGCTCCGGCTTTCCGTACACCTCGCACTCAAACTCAACGTCTTCCTTCTCGTATGCAAACTTGTTCTTCGGTTTCTTTCTGAACCTTGGAGGAACTGGAAGGTGAGGAGAAGAAAAAGAAGTTTGCAATTTCATTCGCGGAACCAAGGTGATTTTGCTTATAACGGGCTTGAAACTAAACCAACCAGGTTTGTCATTATGAAATTTCTGGCAAAAAATATATGGTTAACAAATTAAACCTGCCACAGCTCGCACCATTCATCGAATTAAGACAGTGCCCACATGAAGGTTCTCAGTTTTTTTCCAAATCTGGCAACAAAAACATTCTTTTAAATGGTGAGGTGTGTATTATATATCTAAAGCTCTCTATACAAAGGTGCCAAAACTTTAAATAGAAACAATCTAAAAAGCTTTCCGGTAAAATCATATTTGTAAGGTATTTATAAAATTTATTTTCAAATAAGTTAACAAACTGAATAGAGAGCAATAAGGACGTTTAAACCATGTTTGTAGTTTCACGGAAGAAAATATTAAAACGGACCACGTAAAACACGACACACCCAAAAGGGTAGGAGAAAGTGCTCTCTTTTAGTATATAATGTAGAATACCGTGCATCCGCCCGTTCCACACTAAGCGCCCATTCCCAAATTTGTAAGATGTGAGAAAATATAAACATTACATTGATATGTAAAGGCCCGTTCACACTCTTGCGACCGAGTACGACTGAGAAAGACGAGATCTCTTAAAACTTCTTAAATGTTTTTAAAATGAGAGAACACATTGGCATTGTGGCGCCATCTATGCGGTGACCCTGGAACTACATTTCACAAGAGCGAAGGTTTTGCGGGATTTCCGAGGTCAAATGTGCGTAATACCCATAGAAAGGCTCGTTTATAACATTGACAAAAGTTTTTCGAGCGAAGAAAGGATAATGCGCGAGAAATAAAAAAAATATGCCCGACCGCCGAGTTTACAGTGCTTCCCAATAGATGGTGCCAGTGTATTCTCTGGTTTAAGAAGTTTTAAGAAACCCAGGTTTAAAAGGTCGCAAGAGTGTGAACGGGCCTTAAAAGTGATCACCAGACAAGCGCCCATCCCCCATTTTTTTGTGATTATCTCTAAATTTTGAGTGGGCACTTTCCCGGTATTTTACGGTAGCTATAGTCACTGACGAGGTGATAATGGCGGAGAGAAGGTTCAGTTGGGGGTCCTGCCTGCAATGTGAGCTCCTACCTTCAACAACGCTCCAAAGTCTCGTGCACCTCCAGCACGTGTAAATAGCCAGCGCACGACGGAAGACATGGAGCGCGCGTTGAAGGCCTGGTGCTCCAAAGACACGCCTTGCCGTTCTCATTTTGCCGGTGACTACAGCTGTGCTACAAATATATTGCTCTTGCTGGTCGGTGGGTTACACTTTTAAGCTCATCCTGGGCAATGCCATAACAACTGCCCCGAATACGGACAGCTCTGAAACGTATTCAAGACGAAGATCCTGCACAACTGCAAGATTGCTAGTGCCACATTCTCAAGAACCATTTTATTATGTGACTAAGTATGCCGTATGTGGACACACTGAAATAGAGCAACAGTTAAAATGTCCGGAGTGCAGTGTCCTGTATAAGTTAAGAAATTTATAGGAAAAAGACTTCCATTGTTCTCCAACGTTGACATACCTTGAATTTCAATGGTGGCACTGGCATCCACAGAGTCTTCGTGATTTTCTGCTCTGCACATGTAGGTTCCTTCGTCCGCTTCCTGGATATTTTCAATTTGCAGACTTCCTACTCCGACTTTTCTAAACCTGCTATCAAGAAGCCTACACAAATGCAAAAAAACAACCCAACATTAGTCAAGCAATACATTTCAAATACTCATAGGCAAATTTCTTTAGAGTATCCTGCGCCCTGTTTCCTCTGTACGTTTCATTTCCATTATCCGTCTTCACCCGAGTCATCTTGAACGCCTTTTAACACTGTTCTGTCTTTTCTATATACTCTCGAATATTGAAGTTTTGTAACCATGTAAGGACACCCAGAGGGACCAATAAAGGAGAGTTTGATTCAATCCCATTCATAAACTAAGTTTGATATTAATCACTACTGAAACAATAAACAGGGTTTAACTTACAAAACTTGAAAGTATAAAAACAGCGAGGACGAGGTATTTATTAACCAACACGATCGTTTTCAATTGTAATTGTGGGTTTAACTTATTTGTTACACAAACAAAGCATCCTTACTTCATGAGCTGGCAAATGCAAAGGATGCCAGTTGTGCACGGTACTTCTAGTAAGGTAATTGAAACAAGACTTACGACATGTCGATGGTTACACCATCCTTGAGCCACGTCAGGTTCGGACGAGGGTTTCCATTTGCAGCACAGTCGAGAGTCATGTTTGTTCCTTTCACGACTACTATATTCCGTGGGGCTGCCACAAAAATTGGAGCAGATATCTTATTGGCATCATCTACAAAGAGGAGAAAAACTGGAGTTGTTTACATGAACCTCATACTAGCTACTGTAGAAACACCAGGTTATGAGTGTTTTGGAAAAACAATCTTGGACCATAACTCTAACTCTAATAAAAAGAAAAATGGGGATCTGGTCATTAGAATTACCTGACATACGGGACAAAGATAAAATATCCTGCAAAGAAAAAAGTTCCTGCAGCTCCAACCTCAAAGTGCCGTGTCAAGGTAGAGAGGAAAGCACGAGTGACAGCAAGAGCCTGGGAGAGACACTTCATTTAGTAACTTGTGCAGGAGTTTGAATATAGGACTTATTTACAAAGCACTTTACTATTTTTAACGAGGTTTCATAGAGCACACGAGTCTAATGTGTACATTAATAAATCACATAATTGAAATGTTGAAATGAGAAAATTATGAAAAACAAACTGCCAGCATTGGGATCCAGTGGTTAGAGCTCTTTAGCAGTAGTAAAGAGGCTGTGGGCTCTCAATTACCGTTTATAAATTACTATCAATAAATCATTCATCCACACATCTTAAAGGTAGCATACTTTCAGAAACCTAAGCTCACCAAAAAATTATTTAAGAGCCAAACCCAAAAAACTTCCATCAAACGAAGAAAATGCTTTTGTTAGTGTTTTGGACTTGCCCATTCTGAGCCACCCGCATGTACAGACTGGTTAAAGGCAAAGACTAAGGAGGTATGCATTTGTACAATGCAGCTGTGATGTGCAGAAAACCCAGTACAATAGCTCGTAATTATACCATGTCATCCTGGCATCTCTAGCCACACAGCTTGGCGACATATGGCATCCCCAGTTCCCTCACTCAAGCATACCTTCTCTCTTCAATCCAGCCTACTTTTCCGAGGTAGAATTCTCAGCAATGCACATGCTCCATTCAAAACCGCAACCAATTCTGCACATTCCCTCAGAACCATTCATCCCCCAGTTGCAAGACAGTTGCAACTGAAATTTGGAAGACACGCTTCAATGGTCACCGACAGCCTAAGAAACGCACGGCTCAACGAGTCCCGAGCATCTTATTACCACTCCGCAGCCAATGAGATTGCGGTATTCACTGATAGGAATGTCAGAGAATGAATCACGAAGCAAGAAATGTGAGCATAATAGTTGCTACATCCCGCGTTTGTCAAGCAGTCGGTGACCATGGAAACAGGAGCCACCATAGAACTGGACAAATATGCTTGCGCAGAGAGTGCACATGAAGAGAGAACCTCTGACCCCTCACCGTAGGACAAGCTGACGAAGAGGTTCCCCGCAGAGCTGATCCGGTTCTTGTCGGCATTGTAGGCGGTGCACTGGTAGGCCCCCTCATCGGTGGTCTGCACCCCGTCAATCTCGAGGGCCCCGCTGGGCAGCACCAGCATCCGGGAGGGGTCCAGCTGCAGGGGCTGCTGGTCCTTGAGCCACACCACGCTGGCCGAAGGGACCGCAAAGGCCGAGCAGGGGAAGTATGCCGTCTGCCCCGGGAACAGCCGCATGTCCCTCGGCTGCTCTTCAAACCTTGGCAGAGCTGTGCCAGAGTGACAGGGAAGCAATAAGGCCCGCTTCAGACAGGACAATTTCTACCAGAAACTTGATGTAGTAACACCAGCAACATGGGCTGCCCGCGTTCACACGCAGCAGCCAAATTGCTACGATTTGCCATCGCCAATCACTAAATTTGATTTTTCTTGCACTATTTAGAAGTGCAGTTACGCTCTATATTAAACATGTTTTGATATCTTTAAATGACGTTGAGAATACTTTCTGAAATGGTTCATTTCCAAAAACGATTAATTTCAAACCAAAACCAAGTCTTTAGTCATCATCACCACCATGGTCACATGAAAATATTGCATCCCTAATTGGTTCCTGCCGTTTCAAACGTCTCCAAGTTGTCCGAGTTGCTCGTCCGTTTTGAGCCAGACGCGATCCGAGCAATTCGTGTCGCAGCACCAGGGTCTAGGGAAAGTCAGGGAACAACTCGCCAGCAACACCAAAGTTGCTGGGAAAGTTGCCCCGTCTGAAGCCTTCAGACGGGACAAGTTTCACACTCCATTCTCAACGCTCCAACTCTCAACATTCTATTCATTGACTTGAAACTCTTCCTTTCGTTGCCAGCGACTTTTTCTAGAATATGAAATGAGCTCAGCACTTCAAAATTTAGAAATATTAACCCCAAAGGAATTTACATACTCACCCTATGATGAGAATGTAAATTAACAAAATAAAAAATTCCACTAATGAAACTTGGACTATTTGTGATCAAAATTTCATAGCATTATGCAAATATTTTAATTTTAGAATAGCAATTTCGAATAATACGCTATTCGATATTAGCTTCGACCTGCACTGCAATGTTAGTTGTTTTTTCTCGAGGTGTTGATCGCAGCAGTTTAGCCTCGTTGAGTGCTCTTCTTACCAAGCACCAGTGCATTGCGGAGAAGCAACACCTGCGAAAATGAGCTCCACGGGTGTTGCTTCTTCGCGGTGCACCGGCGCTCGGAAAGAAGCGGACTCAAGTAGGCTAACTCGTCGTGAACGACGCTTCAAAAAGTAAGAATACCATAGTCGCAGGCTTCCCCCGGTATTATTAAACAATGACAACTTCGAGGACGTTGATAACTACATTGCAGTAAATTTTTCAATATCGAACAGGTATTATGCAAAAGTATATGATAGGCAGAGATGCCCTGACAACCTGCATTCATTATTCCTTATTGTCTTCTTTTTTTTCGAATTCGAAATTGAAGAAAGGATATATACATTTAGCAATAAGATGCATAAATCCCCTCGATTAGGTATACAGTGCAACCCAGTTGTAACGATACAGCATGTAATGATGTACAGTATGGACCACTTACAGCGTAACTGCTTATAGTGCAAAACCAGGTATAATGCGGCTTTTTTAAACCACCAGTTCACCTCCCATAGAACTCCACGTAATTACATACCGCTTAAAATACAGGCACGCGAAGGGAAATAATGGTTATAGTGCGGTTTCTAGAACAGCCCGCCGACCGCGCCGACTGACCGGCGCAGCGAGCACGCTTCCCTGTGCGACACTAGATACAAGATAACGGTGCTAGCCGCAAGCGGCACTCGCGGGTCAAGGAGGTTGCCCGAAGAAGCGGGAAGAAGCGAAGAGGGAGGCTTCAGTTGGCTTAGCGACGGAGGGACGCATGCACGTGTGGTTCACGTGCGTGCGTGGTGCGTCCCTCCACTGCTTTGGTTGGAAACAACCACAACGACAGACCAATCACAGGTCGAGGAGAAGTGTTCACGCGCGTTAGATGCCTGTCGCGGGCCGGCTTCTTCTATTCGCGAACATGGCATTGGTTGTGATTGTCGACGTAGACGGCGTGGGGGAAGCTCATCGTTCCGCGTAAAAGCGCTATCCTTGACTGTGAATTTTCGTTGTGTGTCGCTATGACAACCCAGCACATACTAGAAGGGAAGATCCACCTACTCGTGCGGCGATGTCGTGGCGGTACTCTCAAGACGGCAGAAACGCCCGTGTCGTTCTGTTTGTTTACTTTGACTACAGTTGTGCCTTTACTGGCGCGTACCGTATAAAGGATGCGAATTTTCACGCGTTTTCATCACCGGAGAAAGTGATTAGGGTTAGCAATCCTGAACGCTCGCAACGTCCGTCCAACATCCGTCCGCAACCTGCGACGCCGTTTAAAGGCTGCGCCAAGCAAAAGTCGCTCATTTCTTTCAAAATATGTGACACACTTGAGAGAGAAGTGCACTAGTCTGGTGAAATAAAGGCTTTCCTCAAACTAAGCTTTATTTTTCATCTAACGTAAAATAAATTTTTTTACAAAGGTAAGTTGTCTCATGGCATGTATTTTGGCCTGAAAAATTTATGTTTTGGTTATAATGCGGTACCGCTTATAGTGCGGATTTTCGCGACTCCCCCGACATACGTTATATGCGGTACCGCTTATAACAATCAGTTTCTAAAGTTTCTAGACTGGAAATGATCAGTTTCTAGCCCAGATACAACAATAATCGGTTATGACGAGGAAATTCGGGGTTTCCACATTATCGTTACAAGAGGTTTACACTGTAGTGAGCAATTCTATAGGTTTAACTTTATATTAAATCTGTCATCTACTTGCCATAGGATAGTTGTGTATAGCAACATTTAAAAATCCCTTCCAATTAGGTATAGCTAGGCATCTGTATAGGTTTAATTTTATGTCAAATTCGTCATTTACTTTCCGCCCCAATGTAGGCATTGGCCTTTTGAGGCCACGGTATATAAGTATCATTAAATTAAAATTAACCTTGCATAGAAGTGGAAAATGGAAGCTTTGGAACAACCTTCAAAAGGTCCGGTAGTTTTTTGCTTAATTTTTGTGCAAAAGTAGGTAGTAAAAGGTTTGGAGAAACTTCAATATTCAATGCAAAAATATTCGGCCAAAACAGCTATTCTCTTAAAATTCTCTTCAGACTCAAATTCCACTATTCACACATGTCGAGAACTTCATTAGCGAATTCTTTTTTGGGGAGTTTGTAGCTTTTTTTAAGAGAAGTGATGCAATACAGGTAAACTGAGCAAACAAGCAAACAAAAATAAATGCTAGGGAGGCCCAGGGCAATGACCAACATTTCAGAAACTCAGCAACTAAGCCTCTTCAACAAAGTATAGACCTTAGACTTTTGCAGAGCTTCCTTTCTTTCAACTTTCTAGCAATGTCATATGGTTACAGTAAAACCTTGTTAATTCAACCCCCGCTAATTCGGAAATTCGGATAATTTGAACTGCCGATCCGGTCCCGTCAAACGTATGTATTAGTCAATGGCAGCAAACGCTCATTAATTCGGAGGGAACGCGGCGCACTATGGTAAATTCGAACAATTCGGCAGGTGGCGCTAGCTACCGTCTGTTCCAAAGGGTATGACCGCTATCCATCCGAAGTGCGCAAGTGATTTTTCCGGTTTTCCCATGGTTCTTTGCTCTTTCGGTTCTCCGTGTTTTGCACCAGTTTTGCTCTGGATCGCCGTGCTTCAGCGCGTTACTCTCCTGGCGCGGAAGCGGCAGAAGCATTGCTGCAACGGAAAAAGGTAGCACAAGTTCCATAAAACAAAACTTTTTTCAAGCCCCTTCTTCTCTTAAACTAACCTTATACAAGTCCTTAGTTCGTCCTAAATTAGAATATGCGTCATCCATATGGGACCCTGGTCACCAAGGCCTTATCAGCAGATTAGAAGCTACACAAAACCGAGCCGTTCGTTTCATCTTATCTAACTATCCTCGTACAGCCAGTGTAACATCAATGAAATTAACTTTGTCACTTCCCAGTTTGTCGTCTCGGCGCAAAACAGCTCGTTTATGCCTGCCTGTTTCACAAAATTTATCATCACATCCCATCTCTCCGTTTGAAACTAATGCTCGAGCCCTCTTACCGTTCATCCCGTCTCGACCATATTCACAAGGTAGGCATACCTAATTTTAACACCTTCAAATTCAGCACCTCGTTCATACCTCGCACATCGACTGACTGGAACCACCTTCCCGCTTCTATTGCAGATATTAATGATATTTCACTCTTTAAGCAATCACTTATTAACAGCACCCTTGGTTGATTAATTACGTTTATTTATTGTTTGCTCACTCCCCTCTAAAATGTACTCTGTACCTTGAGGGTAAATAAATAAATAAATAAATAAATAAAAGTGACAGACGACCGGAATGGCAAAATCGTGACACGCGGGGCTATTCTTCCCGAGCGTGCCAATAGCGAGAGTGACAGTCACGTTTTATGCCTCAACGCGGGGACCCTAAAGCCCGCCATTTTAACAAATATCCTATCCCTCAATTTTTCGTCGGCCACCTCCGCATTGAAAAATGCAACATGACTGGCACTCTCGCTATCGGCGTTCGGTAAAAATAGCGCCGGGTGTCGCGATTTCACTGCTCCGGTTACTGGTCAGTTGTGCTACTCGTTTTCCGTTGCAGCTGTACTAGGCTAAGAATTTAGCGACGAAAGTGGAAATACTGAGGGCCTTGGAGGGCGGCGTCTCTCGACAAGCGATGGAAAGTTGCGACGTCAAGAGAAGCACTTTGGCCACGTACGTAAAAATTGTGGTCGATATCCTACGGGCTTTCGAAAGCGAGAAGTTCAACGCGAAAAGAAAGCGGCCTTGGAAGGTGGTGCACCCGATACTAGAAGGCATTGCTGTGCTACATTGTCAGCGCAAAGGATGCGTAGCTCCGACAGTGCGAGTGCGGTGGAGCACTCAACCGCGCTAAGGAAAGTTGCTGTCTCTGCCCAAGTGCCGTCCAGAAAGCAGGCGGTAATAACAGATTTCTTCTCAAAATAAAGGTATGTCACAGGGAAATGTTTTCGCGCAACTTTCTTTGTCCTTTCGATATTTCGACTTTCGGATAATTCGGACATTTTTGCCGGTCCCATGAGATCCGAATTAACGAGATTTTACTGTATTGAGAAAATGTGACCTGTGCATTCAAAACCAGCATGCAGTTTATGCAAAAAAAATTTTTTGTCTCTGTCGTTTCCCAAAAGGCATTCAAATCCATAGCATTTATAGAGACTCTCCACACTACTTCTTTTGCGAGCACAGTAAGAAGGCCATCGAAGGGCATACTGCAAGAGTTTTATAAATACTATATCAACCGGTCCCAAGGACCTGGCCAGAATCATACTCTGATATGCATAGCATTAACTGCAGTTGATTCACTTTTGATTGAGAGTGGCCACATGGCACGTTTAAACAACTGGCTTAAGTCTCTTTTTTTTTTAAATAACAACTTTATACAGCATAAAAAAAAATTATGACTGACCAGCCACTTGGAGCTTTGCAGAGCGACTCAGGATGGTGCCAACATTTGGAATGGTGGCCAAGCACTGGTAGACTCCCTCGTCGGGTCTCTCTGTTCTTGTGTGGTGCACACTCCGCAAGAAGAGGGAGCCATTGGAGAGGATCGACCTGCAAAGAGGGTGGTGCAGCAAGCAAATGTGCTTTTACAAATCAACACATCACCAATCAACCTGAAAGGAGATTTGATTACATTTAAACAATACAATGATTTTTATCCCAATCATACTTTGTTCATAACTTTCCATGTTTGTTTCTAAGGAAGATCTTAACAGTGATAGTCGGAGTGTAGAGTATGTTAAACTCAGGCACTTACATACTTGGTTTAGCATGAACAAAGGTTCTCGGGCCCCCCTCATGCTTTTTACAAACTTGATAAGACATCCTAACAGCGTGACACCGGCCTTGATAGCTACCTTAGTGATTTTAAGGTAAGCTCCCAGACTAGGGATCTCCAATCAGTGTGTTCAGATCTAAGCTGAGGCACATGCAACCTGATAGGGTCTTGCAATGTGGGAGTTGTGTTACTAAACTTTGGATCACTGAGGGGTCTCTTGGTGATCCAAATTTATGCTTACTTTGGGGCTAAAGCATCTCAGTCTTGGGATTCTAGTTTATAGGTTGCCAAGTAAATCTCTCGCTAATTGCTCCTATGCACCAAAAAAACTTACCTCAATTAAAAAAAGGAAGTATTTATTTAAATATGGTCTATATTCACATCACTTGGAATATTACAATAGTATATCAAGCAAACCATGCAAGTAGAAGGTGTAAGGAGGTACTTTAAAAGGAATCTCCCAGAAATTTCAGAATGATGGCAAACATATCGCAAGCAGACTTAGAAAAACCTAGGAGACAAGGCTTTTAGCGAAATGTCAGATGCTATTGTGAGGCCTATAGGGGTGTTCTATCTTAAGCAGTAGTTTCAATAATTTCAGCATAGAAAAAGAAAAAAGTAGCCTTTTTCATATGTAAACTTCCTAAGATAAAAAAAAAACTGAAGTGGTTAAACAAAAAGGCCAGAAAGAGCTTTCTTCAAAAATATTAGAATATAGCAAACTAACTTGTAAAAATCTGAGAAGTGAATTTCAAATGATCTTCAAAGAAAATGTCTAGTATATCTGAGCTCAACGCAACAAAGTAACTCAAAGTTTCAAAAAATATCTTGGCAATTATGATTGGACAAATATTCAAACCTTCGAATAGCAGTTTCAAATAAGATGCTAATCGATATTCGCTTTGAGATAAACTGCAATATTTGTACTTTTCTAAGTATTGATCGCGGCAGGTTAGCCCTGTCAAGTGCGCCTCTTGTTGAGTACTAGTGTACAGCAGGAAAGCAACACACACGGTTCCGCGAATGTTGTTTCTCCACAGTACACCGGTGTGCAGTAAGAGGCACACTCAAACAGGTTCAACACTTCGAAAAGTACAAATATCGCAGTGGTGTGCATAGGAGCAAAAACACACCTTCAAAGCGGGACGGTGTACGCACATCCCCTAGTGTTTTTCAAAAAAAATTTAAACTTAGTGAATGTGGATGTGCACAATGAAGTAAAATTTTCAAAATTGATACATGTCTATTATGCAAGATTATATGTTAGGCAGAGATGCCCTGGCAACCTGTATTCATCATTCATTATTTTTTTTATATATATATCTTCGAGATTGAAGAAAGGATATTTGCATATAGCAAGAATATATAGAAATCCCCTTGATTAGGAACAGCAGGCAATTTTATAGGCTTAATTTTATGTCAAGTTCGTCGTTTACTTGCCATCATAATGTAGCAGGGTAGAGAATAACAATCAAGATGATTTAAATCATGATTTGAATCAAACCTGCTTTACTACTATGATTTAAATCAGGGGTCTCCAAACCCCGTCCCGCTGATGGCCGCGGCCCTTTGAGTGCGACGCCCGGCCTGCAACCAGCTGCTACCACGCAAATAATAAACGCCCCCAGAAAAAAAAAAACTGGTTTATACAAAAATTTTAGAAAGAATGAGAAAAAATGGCATCAAAATGTTGGTTCTTTCTGCATATTATTCATTACACATTTTTATCCCAAGCATTAGTATTCAGAGTCCCTTGGTTCATGTCTGTGCAACTATTTAAAATTATTTTGCTTGCTCACATATATTGTGCTTAAGACTCCTCATCACAACTATTCCAAATGGCCATTATCAGAACTACCCTTCTCATTAGTCTTCTGCCCCTCTGTGAAAATGCCAAGTTCCTGTGCACTTTGATTTAGGCATGGTGAGTTTTCTATGCTTATGTCTTCATTAGTGATATATGGAATTTAAAAGAATGCCATTCACTCGCTTCACCAATTTCAATTTCTGCTTAGTTAAAATCTTTGCATTTAAATAATTATTTAGGTGTATTTATTCAGGATTCCTAATTTATTTTTAAATATTTATTCTCCAGCCCTTGAGAGGGTGACAGATCCAAAATCCGGCCCCTTAGCCGAAAAGTTTGGAGAACCCTAACCTTTCCTGCAAAAATAATCCCCTCCCCCCCTTTTTTGTGTGTGTTTTTTCATTTATCGTTAGCTTATTATTTGGTGCTTTCTATATGCATTTGTTCCTGTATTTAAATAAAGGAATCCTCAAGCAAGAAACATTTATATCAGGCTAAACAGTGGTATTCCAAGCAAATCAGAATGTTGAGCTTTCTTTCTGCCATTCACTTCATTTGTTAGTTACGTAACCACTAGAAAAGTAATGTCCTATAGCAATGAAGTTAGAACGCAAAAAAAAAGCAAATAAAGCTTTTTCACTAGCCTAAAAATATCAAGCTGTTTTTTTTTTTTTACTTTAGGCTCAATAACTAAATCAAAAATAGTTAATTAAACTGTACTTTAAATTTAAATTAATTCTTTTTTCCATTGTTTTTAGTAATCAGACCGATTGACGAATCAATCTGTCATGTTTTAAAAATCTAGTGATTAAAAAACACTACTATGTGCGTACAATAATTTAAATAAAATTATTCTGGCTTAAAACGAATAACTCTGATTTAAATAAAATAAATCTTTATTTAAATCAAATGAATTTTCTTTTTTAGTCTTGCATGTAGTTGCTGGTCTTTTTGAGGCCATAGTCTATACTAAATATACAGGGTGATTCAAGGAGAGACCAGGCTCTTTAAATCGACTGCAAAATTCGGTTTCTTAACCTATCGCGCTACGACTTTGTGCAGCGTTGGGCACAGATGGTGCTTTTTTTTTTTTGTAAAATTTGCAAAGAGCGAACTTCCCTGAGGAAAAAGTAAAGAAAGAAAAAGGCTTAGCTCCTATGGAAACGCAGCGACGCCACCGGTCTTCAAACAACACGGCGCCGTTTCGCACGGGAGACATGGCAGACGATCTTTTCGACTCAAAAGCGGCGCGCGTTCCACAGGCGGCGACAGTCGCAGAAACAAAAACAGGCGCGGTAACACAAGGAACTGCAGTTCCTCGTCTGCTAAAGACGCCGGCTCTCGGCGTCGTATGCTCGTTCGTTGGCGGCAGTTGGCGTCGCGACCGCTTGCGCCCTTTACTTTTTCCTCAGGTAAATTCGCTCTTTGCAAATTTTACAAAAAAAGAAAAAGCATAATCTCTGGGCAACGCTGCACAAAGTCGTAGCGCGACAGGTTAAGAAACCGAATAATTTTGCAGTCGATTTAAAGAGCTTGGCGTCTCCTTGAATCACCTTGTAGATAGATTCAAATTAAATTTTCTTAAAAATGGAGTGGAAGATTGGGAACGACCTTCACGTGTTGGGTTTTCGTTTGAGAATGGTCGAGCAGTAGTGAAAGGCTCGCCAAACCACCATTCGCTTTGAACTCGAAATCTACTATTCACTCAAGCGTATTAGCAATATATATTATATACAAGATTAGGACAAAATAAACTGAACATACAACTTGCACCTTATTAGTTGTAGACCATTACAATCACCGGCGGGGTGGGAATGGCAGGGATGTCTTTCAGCCACGTCCAGAGGGAGTTCTCTAAAACTTTCCATCTCGCGGGAAGCCGAGCGTCTCTTTCGGAGGTCAGCCATCCCAAAGAGGCACTGTTCTTATCCTATGAGTGTACAGGTACATACCCTCGTAAGCAATTGCAAATGAAAAGCACCCAAAGCATGCTGCGGGCATTTGTTTTTTCCAATGCAACCTGGCAATGAGGTTGAGCTGGGTAAACAAGATAGAGAAAAATTAACGGAGATCTAGTTCCTGAATGGAGAAAAACACTGCAAGCACGAATATAGATACCCTAGGTTTTTAGACTCTCACCTTCTTGGATCGCCATCGAGCTGGAGTAGCGAGCCTTCCCGCTTCCATTCAATGGTGGGCTCGGGGTCCCCGGCTGCCGAACAGTTGAGCATCGCAGGGCTGTCCTTGATGGCCACCATGTCCGAAGGCTCCTCCAGAAAGCGGAAGTCCGGGAAGAACACGTTATCACCTGCACAAATGCGGAAGACATCTGATCAGAACATGCTACATTCATCAACATGCACATGTATTTACGCTGTGCGACACAATATCTTCTACCAAGATATGCCTCTTGATAAAGCAGTTCAATCGCTGCATTCGGCAAAAAATAAACGTGCCCCTTTCGACGGGAACCACGTACCAGCGCATGCTCCACTAAGCAGGCTTCACGGCGCAACAGCCAAGCTGTTTGCGTGTTTTGCACAGAAGACTTACCGCAACGACACTCAGTGTTACGCAACATTAACAACGCGAATAAAATAAAATTTTGAAAAAATACAGTGCTGGGGCTGTAGCCAAAACGTGTCATGAATCCGGCAAAAAGCAAACGTTTTAGTTGCTCGAATCAAACTGGAAGCTCACAAAGATCAACGACCTTATTCAGAGACCACACACAATTCCATATCGCGAGTTGATTCGCGGATTCTTTAAAAGAGTTTGTTAGGAAATCCTATAAAGTGCCCGTCTGACAGTAGCCGAACTTCATTTCATCATATGTCAGAGGACATGCAATTAAAAACCAAAACACACGCAAAAAAAAAAAAAACATTTATTTTAAGCGCAAGTATTGGTTTACCAATCAGAACGCGTACAGAAACACGACGAGCGACACGACGTCGCATTTTTGACGCTGCTTGATTGGTCCCATCTGCTCGTGGCGTTGGCTGCGCCAACACCGCCTAAAATAATCAAAAACCGTGCACTAGCAATCGAGGTCATCGCAGGGAGACGGAGCGCAGACGCAGACGGGACACGGGTACTACTGCGTCAGCATTCGGTTGGGCCTCGCGTCCAATCAACGCGTCGGGATCGGGACTAATGGCGCCGTCCGAGTGTGGTGACGTCACGTGGAGGTAGAGAAGTCTGTTCACAGGCTTTGACTATTCCAGGCGGTCCGGCAGGTACACACGCTGTATACACAGCACAATAAAATAAAAACATTTTTTTTTAAGTTGTTTTTTTTAATATGTGGTTGACGGGACTGCCAAAGCTCGGCATTCTCGGCGCTGGTGCCACTCCCAAGGCGTCACTGCACGGTGCCGCCGGCGGCTGACGAGTCGACAAGCCGCTGACATGCGGGAAAAGCCAGGATACACAAATAGCGGGACCCTTCGAAGGGTGTTCCGAGGAACGGCAACTGACGTCCGCGCTTGGGGCCGCGGGAGACGGCGACTGACAGCGCGACACGGACAGCGGGGAACCGATTCGTCATTACACAAAGTAGCAGCGACGGGCGAGGTACCGCGCACGTGCTGGCAGCAGCGAGGGCCCAGGAAAAAAGTGATTTAGTCATGCCGTGGTTTTCGCTGTTTATTTTTATTTTCAAAATCGGGGGGAAAGGGCGGGGGGAGGGGGTACAATGTTTTGTGTAAATTGGTTATAACTTAACCAATATACAAAAAAAAAAAAAAAAAATTTATGGAAAACAAGTAAACACCTCTCAAAAATAATCCCTGGAGATGGGGAACAAGAGGGACAAAGGACAAACACAAATCTCCTAACACAGCTAGGTGACTGGTGCGCGACCGAATGAAATACGCCGGGTCCGGGTGTCAAACCCGGGACCTCTCCGTTACAGGTGGAGCGCTCTACCAACTGAGCTAACCAAGGGTTAGACGTCAGTAGAGCAAACGGTACTAATAATAAATAGTAGTTATAATGTCGTTTTATATACTTGCATATATATCACACTAAAAATATATATAAACACTCTCTTTTGAATACTTTGCGATTGAGAGTGATTCAAAAATGCCACACACGACAATCGTCAAAACCTCGTCGTTCTTTCCCGCTTCTTTGAGATTTTTTTTTCTCAGAAACTAAACATGTCAGGAGATTAATATAAAAAGGATTGTTCTTCTTGGAACATGCGCCACAAAATATAAAAATTTTAAGCGAAAAAAAAAAAAAACGATTGCACCTCGTTGCTTAAATCCAAATGAAACCGCGCAAATATAATTACGTAAAAGGTTTGGCAACGGCTCATATTTTTTTATCTTTAGAGGTAGAAATGTCTTCTTTTTAAACGCAATACTTAATATGACGAAACCATATATGTCAAAGAAATTTTATTGCATATATAAAAACACAAAAAAACATTTCATATAAAAATTTAAAAACATTTTGAAATGACGTTGAAGTTTGTGTTTTTAGCATTTCTTCTCGAGTTGAAAGTGTTGTTTCTTCCATATAAACTATGCCAAGATTAACAATAGTATAATTTTTAAATTCGCTTAGATACAAGGTTGCATTCGTTATGACTACATCAAAAGGTAGTTCCATTCAAACTTGGCCGATTATTGTCAAAGGCGCAAGATTCAAGAATTTATATATATATATATATATATATATATATATATATATATATATATATATATATATATATATATATATATATATATATATATATATATATATAACACTTGTAGAACTGTAAGTCTTAAAGCAGTAAAAAAAGTTATAAATGTTGTGGGAAAAAAATAATTAAAAAATTTCGAGACTCCAAATGATGTCACTCGGGGAAACTGCAAAAAAGGCAAAATGCCGAGAAAACAATGTTCCGTAGTTCTAATTCGCGGTTTTGTTACAAACACAAATTTTCCACCAACATATTTTTTAAAGAATTTTTTGGAATTCGTTGTTTCTTCTCTCACAATTTGAGATGAAATCACTCCTAGAAAAATCCCACTTTGTGCGAATAAAAAGGAGAGGATGAAACTGACAGACACACGCGAAAATCGAAGTATTTAGCCTCAGGGTTGAAGAGAAGCCAGCGCAGCAAACAGCTTCCGGTCAAATGAGGATAAATCCTGCGGACGAAAGTACGCCTCCTCTCGGGCTCGAGTAAAGTCAATCAGAACCACTCGCCCAAATGGGGTCATGGTTGTGGAATTGTCTCGTTCTCGGCGATACCGAACGACCATTTGATCTCTACCATCCAGGAAGTCGGATGAGTTGCAGCAGAAAGCCTCAAGGTTTCGCCAATCTACGGTACATACGCCGGCCTGGCCTCGAGCGAACCGGCGGTTCATCGACCCGACAAGACGGAAATTCTGCGTCCCAAAAGAAACCGCGGTCCTGCCGGCAAAGTTTATCTCGTCTGATTCCGTCTTTTCATTGAAACCTATAAATCGAAGATTTATAGGTTTATAGGATCGTTCGCGCAGAGCATAGTAAACACACAGTCTCCAAGAATATAAAAGACCCATCCGACGAGGTAATTTCAGGCGACTGTGTTGGATTCGGTGAGGAAATAAGTGAAAAATTGTTGTTTTCTTTCTAAACACAAAGTGCCTCTGGCCAAAGTGTTCCCGCCACGTAAACTGCTTCGGCGAATGAGTCTTCCACATTGTGGGAGACTGTGCGCACGTGTCCTCTCCTACCTACAGTATATAGTCCTGCCCCAATAAATCAAACCGACAAGAGACTCATGCCCTCAAGAAATTAGGGGCCATCCAAAGACGATGGAACGACAAAGGCGGTCCGGCAAAGTGGACAAAGACCACCGGGAGCGCCGTCACTCACATCTGAAGGTCAAAGAGGAGGAGCATAAAAGACCGCTGGTTACGATCGGCCCGAAAGAACTACCAAAATAGCAATCCACAGACGTCGCGGGCGATTCAACCGGCCGTCAATGGGCGGTCTCGATCGAACCTAACAGGTCGTTATCTTCGCAATGCAGGAACAACAGAAAGCCGCCACACCCGACGAGCATGGCCGCCGGCACCGAGTCAGTTTCGACGGTTTCCGCTCTCTTCCCGGAGGTAGTGCAACAAAGGACGGGCCGTGTGGGACCCCCTCAAGCCCGTCGTAATCCGAAATTGGAGTACGCCGCCGGCGTACAAAGGACCAGGGAGACCGCGAGAGGGGAGGTCCTTTCGCTGAGGGCGGGAGACGGAGCTGTTGGGTCGGAGCGAAGAATGACGGAGTCGGCACAATTTCCAGCAAGGGCCCCCAGCCGCACAACACACCGCGGGCCCGCTCACTTCATTGGAGACGCCATTCTTGTCCCGCGGGGGAACACGGCACGCCGAAGGAAACAAGTTCACAAAGACATCGGAGGGAGTGCGCCTCGGTCGGAAGGGGGGGAGACAATGCCCGAATTAAGACGAATAAACAGGACCCGATGGTTTCCCTTTTACGCTCTCTTCCTCGTTGCGACAACTGCGGGACGAAGGAAGGAACAACCGTAGACAAAGATGAAGAAGGCCTTCGGGGGAGGCTTTCTCCAAGATAGCTTCGGGGATCCGTCACGCTCACGCTCGGAGCGGTACGACGCGTGCGTGGCCAACGCAGAACCCGCGACGTTTTCGACGACCAACAGCGACGGACCCGCAAAAGGAAAGACGACGGGGCTGCCCGCCCGAGGGGAGGGTGCCGTCTTATTTATAAAGGCGCATTCCACGGATTGCACGACGCCGCCTCATCTCTCCTCACTGGTCGAAAGAACAGTTGCCCCAGCTCGCTCCTTCCTTCGCCACCTCGCGCGGACAAGATGGCTGCCGTCAAAAGGACGCTGTGAGCCATCGAAGTCAATCCAATGCATCGTGAGTGTCACGTGACCTTCGGGAGGGGCGCATCGACGTGCGTGGTCACGTGACATGTTCACAGTATCATAGACTCGCTGTGGGACGGCTCGTAGCCTCCCCACTGCAGTTCATCGTAAGGTGAAATAGAAGTGTTTCTTTTAAAAAAATCGCCGCCGGGAAAGCTGCACTAATGTGGTCTGTGCAGGTATACGGGGGAGATAATATAGGGGGATAAGCGTCACGATAAGCCGGTGAATTAATTAAATATGAAAATTACATTTCTAATGAGCCATCCGGGTTTTCGCATTGCTAGCCTTCCAGTGGTATCTTTAGCGCAACCTCGTACTGCCCACGTGCTGTAGGTCTGCAATTGACTGATTTAGTGGCGTTCGATGACGCTGAGCGAGTTTTTGATTGAAACCACGTGTTTATTTTCGT